GAAATTTTCTACATTCAGTGAAACTTCTGAATGAAAAGCTGACATTTGGTATAAGTATTTGTGTTCATCATGTGGGGCAGTGTTTTCCTATTTTCCTCAGAAAACAACATCCAAATGTCTATAAGTGGCACTTGATACTGCAAAGAGAGATAAAATGTTTTAGTCAACCCATGTTCCCTGCCCATCCCCCATATGTAAATGTCTTCCCACTCATTGATTCAGATCTTTAATTGCAGCCCATCAGAGGTTTCTGAACTTCAGTTTCAGCTGTCAGCCTTAGCTGTTCTAAGAGGAGTTAATACTTCAGTGGGTGAAATATAACAACAAACTTCTCAGCTGAATTATAATCTCTTTTTAAAGAGACAAAGATATTTTCTATGCTAACAAAGAAATAATTGATAATTAAGATAATTAGGACAATTGTGATAACATAATTGTGCTTATGGTTAGCAATACTTAAATTTGTGGTTCTTTTAGGACTGATTTTGTTCTTGATATTATATATAATCATTTTAGCATGGACTATATGTTCATCTGTAAACATTCTGGCCTACTGTGAAAGGAAGAGTTACTATAAAAATGAAATAAATTATTTGATTCATTCAAGTTATGCTGTCTTTGACTATAATTCTGCATAAAAGATCTCTTTAGAAATTAGTAATTGCTAGAGATGATAGCAGTACAGAAGTTGATTGCATTCGCCTTCTTCCAGGATGTTTTTCGACATCCCTGCCTATGTTCTAATTTAGAATTGCTTAATATAGTGGGAGACATGGGAATTTGTCCTGGATTTCAGAATTGAAATGTATTCTCAAGAACAGTACCAAATATTAAAAATATCACTTCCTTCTGTTTTACAGTGGTATGTTCAGGCTACCTGTGCTACACAAGGTACTGGTCTATACGAGGGACTTGATTGGCTGTCAAATGAGCTATCAAAGCGTTAATTGCAACTGGATGACTTTCGCACCAAGGACACGTTTGATATAAGTGGTCTAGGCTTGTTACATCAAAATTAGCTGCATCTTGGTTATTATACAGTATCTGGAACTGATTTGGGCAGGATATTACAGCATTTTTACTTATTTTGTTGCCAATTATTGTTCTCCAAGCTATGTTGCCAAGGTAACATTAGGCTTGGATTAAAGAGAAACTCCTTAATTTGAAAAAAGTGTATCTTCTGATTTTTCCTTTTGTTGTTAGCCTAAATGCCTGAATATAGTTGTGACTTTGAAATCTATTGAATGCTTATTGAGCCCCAATTCAATTAAGTATATTTAAGACCCCTCTTATCTCTAAGTTACCAATCCCTGTTTCATTCCATAAGACAGTCTGCTGACTTAATCTAGCATTCCATTTATATTTATTTCTCTCCCTTATAAAAACACTTCCTGATGTTGCCAAGAATCCTCTAAAACACTATTCAAATCTTCTGCACTGAGGAATTTTATTAACCCCCTCTTCCAATTGACCCACTTTTGCCTTTGTGTGAACTCAGCCTGATAATACTTACTGTGCTGGTTGCAACAAGCTCATTGGAGTTTTTAAATATTCAGCAGATTGTCTTTTTTTTCTTTTTGCATGTTGCTTTCAGTATCAGCCTGTTTTGCCCAGTGTATAATAGTTCTGCTAAAGTTTTACTGTTTATTGGTGAACATATCTTCATGAAGAGATTTTGAAAATTCTTCAGACTTGATGGATTAATTTCTTTATAACCTATTCAGAATTATTCCTAATTAAAATGATACAAATGTATAGCTTTGTTGTATGCTCCTTGAATCTTACGTTTGTGGAACTGATAATATGAATGTGTGACAGATTCTTTTTCAATAAACGGAGTTTTTTCTGTACCTTGAACACAAACAGATCTGAATAGATTTTGAATTGTTTTCAATTTGGCAAAAAATTAAGGTGGGCAGTTAACGTGTGCAACATAACTGATTATCAAAGCTAAATCTGTGTTTTGAAGCTGTAAATCTAAATCCTTTTAAGATGTCCAGATATGAGAATACTTAGAGTTCAGAATGGTAATAAAGTTCAAACTGCCCAAGAGTCTGTTTTATTAATGATTGACAGATTACTTTGGTTCGCTAGCAATTGTCCTGTGAATTCCTTCCACGTAGTCAATTATCTGATCCTTAGATAGTCGGATAGCTGTTTAATTCGGAAACTTACATATCTCTTCTCAGAATCTGAATTTTCTAATGTCTTTTAAACTCATTTATAACTGGCACCACAAAAATGATGCATTTAAAACGGAAATTTTAATTTATTGAATTACTTTATATCATTCAAATAATTCTCCAAACTGCTAAATTTACATAATACATACATTAGCTGCATACTTCATATTTAGCCATAATGTCTTCTCTGGCTTGTTATACTTTTGACAAATTATGGTATTTAAGAAATTAGCACAACTTGAGAACTGCCATCAGTACTTTGCAAACATGTTGGGATGTAATAGCAGTATGTAGTGTCCACAGAATCCATATTTCCATCTACCTCATCCTAGTCATTAATAAAAATGTTAAGGAATATTGGTCTCATGACTGCATGTTTTGGCATTCTATTTGATGCCTTCTCTAGTTTTATAGTTTAACTGTAAATGTTCATATATGTATACATTTAATAATTCTATCCATTCTATGTACAGAATGTTATCAGATATTTTGTCAAATACTTTACAACATTCCTATATCTACTCAGAAAATTGTTGGTTCAAAAAAATAGATAAAGCCAGTAAGACCTTGTGTTACTTAATAGGGCTTGAACAGATCAGCACTGTTTCTTTGGCTCATGTTCTCATTCCAGTCTTAAGCAGGAACATTTAATATTGCCAGGCTATTCAAACGAGGAAACACTAAAACTGGTGCTCAAACCTGAAAATATTTTTTTTAAAAAAACAAATAGCTCACACTGAGTTCCTTCCAATTTGTATATCTGAGGCAAGGCTGTGTGAATACCCTCACAGGAAACAAAGATTTAATCTTTTTTAAAGATGCTGTTCTTAAGGGATAAATTTGCATTTACATCATGGCTTATGGCTTTCTAAAAGTTACTGAAATACTATTTTTTGCTGCTCAAAATTGAGATTTTTCAAAATTGGTTACCAGCTTATTAGATCCTCTATGTTAAATTGTTTTGTATTCTTAGCACAAGACGTGTACAAGGTAGGTTTTTTTAAATTACCATATGCTTCTAAACTGCATCTCATGGTTTTCCAAAGGATTCTTAGATTGAGTCTAAGAATTGAGCCATTGTGAAGATGCAGCAGTTATATCAAGACGTGTTATACAAGTGGGAGTTTTTTTAAAATACCTGAGTCAAGTATAACTAATTTCAACTGTCAGAAAAATTCTGTGGAGTGTATTTGCCAATTAGAGCTAAAGTTAACTTTTGTTTTAGTGTCCGACCCATCACAACCCCATGGACGTTCCTTCAGGTCTTCCTGTCCTCTATCATCCCCCGGAGTCTATTTAAGCTCACAACCAGTGCTTCAGTGACTCCAGCCACCTCATTCTCATTTAACTAAGTTAAATGAGTTAACTAAGTTAACTTTTAGGTGATACCAGGCAACTCATGACTGGTTGGTTCATGCTTTCAGAACTTCCCTTATGAGATTTCTCAATGCCTTTGACAATGACAAGAGCTTTGGATGTACTGCCTTAACTGGAAAAGCTGGGATACATCCAGAGATGTATCTGCCTTGAAAATAGCCCATGTTGAACTCTACAGCAGAGTCAAACATCAATACAGAAAATAGGTTTTAACATTTGTATTATGTCATAAAGTGTTTTATGATGTTTATGTCATAAAACTTATAAAATTTGTCAAAAGGCATGGGTCCCAGATTTTGGGCACATTCTGTAAATTAGCCCATTTGAGCTACCTTGTTCAAAATATTTAGCCCTTAGTTGTATTGTTTTGCCCAGTTAAAGGTTACAGGAATCAGTTTTAATAGTATATAATACACAGACTGAATATACTGTAGCAATCTGGTTAGGCAAATAAAGGGTCCAGAAACTACATAAATGAATGGACCTGACAAGACAAAAATGAGTTATGCTGTGTTCATATGAAATACTAAACCATGGTTAATTTAGTATTCAATAAACTGATCTAGTTTTAACAATCTATGCAAATTGACATAAAAGTAGTCATAACTGGTTGCATGACCTTGTGCCATAAAGTAGCTAGCCATAACAATCTTATCTTACACAAATAAGGGCAATGAAACAGGGTGCCAACATCCCCCATTATTAGTTAACATTTGCGAGAAGTAGACCTAACGCTGTCACATAACGCTCAGATCAAACAGTTAAGCAATTAATCATTTTAACTAGTTTATGTATTTGATTTATATGGTCACCTATTTCAAATCCATAACTTTGAGCAGCTAACAAAGATTCAAGTTTTAATGGTTCAGGGTGCAGAACATGCTTAACCAGGTTACCAGCAACACCAGTATGTTGATCACATCTGCAAATTCAAATATTTTCAGTTAATAAATGAGACAATTTACCCCTGTAAACAGGATTAACAGTTGAGTACCTTCTTAACTCGGTCTTGTGAACTGGTGTGGAAGAGGATTAACTGTAACTTAATTACCTTTTCTAGCCTTCATCAGCAAGAAAAGAGAAGGTTAGCCCCATCAAAGATGGGGCTGCTGCAGCTACAGCACCTCTTTAATTACTTCTCTTTGCTTTAAATGAAATAAGTGGGGTTGTCTTTCACTCAGCCTTTGTTACTTAGACCTTGCTCAAATCATTAAAAAACTTTCCAAAACAGCAGGAAGCAATAGTTTTTAAACTCCCTAAAGGTGGATTACTATTGATTAAAATCACTGCTTCCTAGCAAAATCAGTCTCTAGTCAGAAAAAAAATCACTACCCAAGCATACCATAATATTACTATTATTTAAACCCAAATTATCTTGGTTTATGTAAGATCTTTTCCCCCAATAGTGGGAACTCTCAGAATATTTTTTTGAATCATAATATTACTATTATTTAAACCCAAATTATCTTGGTTTATGTAAGATCTTTTCCCCCAATAGTGGGAACTCTCAGAATATTTTTTTGAATCTTTAATAGTCTTATGAAGACAACATAGTGGCTATTCTTTCACATGTCAATAGTGACTGATTGGCAAATATCAGTTTAAACAAACCAGTTCTTTCCTTATTTTAAAAGTCATATGAAAATGAAAAGGGACAGTCATAGTTTCAAAATGTATTTTGTTCATTAGTAAAAGAAAAATATAGCACTGGTACATAAGAACGCTGTTATAAAAAGTATGACCACTTATAAAGAATTATAAATGAGATATAATTGTGATCAAAGAAGCATTCCAACTGAATTTTTCACAAGTAGCACACATTTCAGAAAACAATCAGATCATTTCCACTTTATATCACATATTAGTGCTATATGATCTGATGGGTGTGAAACACTTGGTAAGGCCTGGTGGGTGGTTACTTCTTCATGGCTTGGCAGTGGAATTACCTGTTCAACCTCCAAAACATTTGCATCAATGAAAATATAGTCCAAACATCCATGAAAGCCTCCAACATAATTAGTGTAGGCTGGTTCTCCACAAGCACTTTTAAGACAAAACTGGTGGATTAGAGACATAGCAAACCGTTGCTCTTTAACTTCTGAATCCCAGCTCTCATGATCTTCAGTAATACTACCGCTATTGACAAAAGTATATGTTCCAGTTGATGGTGTGGCATTAAAATCCCCACAGAGGATGAGAGGTGTAGCAGGATACACGTCATTGATCACATGCTTAATATGGGATAATGCTATTGCAACTTGGATTAGACGGATATTTTCACCTAAAATAAAAGAAAGGATCGTTATGTTTAGTCAATGGCTCTAAGCTTTCAAATAATATCCAGTCTTAATATTATTAAAAAAGCTCCCAAGTTGAATTTCATAATAGGGGTTTCAAATTTATAGCTTTCCATGCCATATTAGGTAAACTAGGCCACACTGATACAGTTGGATGGTGACAGCCAAAATATGTTAGCAGCTTACAAGTCTTAGACAGGCAGCTCTGCACCTAGAATGGAGAGGCTGACGGACAGCAACACATATACTGTATTGAGATATCATCTCAGCTCAACCTGAAGCTTGTCAGCTTACCAGCAACAGCAAGAAGTTGCAGGCGGGGCAAATTGCTGTTGCCCATGGGAAATGGCACAGCTCCATTTTGGGAGATGGTGAACCAAACAAGAGGCCAATTCCCCTCAACCGATTTCTCTGTAAATAATTTTGACTTTTTAATGATTTTTCTAATGTTTTGGTTATTTTGTTTCCAACTTTGTATGTAGTTCAAAATCATATATGTAAGATGACAGCTATACAAATTTACCAAATAAAAATCTCATTCCCAGAAATCATACTTTGTTCTGTTGTAGTCTCATTCCATTTCTACAACTGATCACTTTATTATTCCATACTCTAACACCTTTTAATTTTATTTACATATCCACACTTTTAAAAGTGATCCTCTTTTATGCCGCATCAACCCTGGATTGAATTCTTTCTAAACCTTTAAACTTCCTACTTCCTAACCCACAATGCTGCAGTCACTTGTGTGGTCTATATCAAAAGAATGCTAGGTAGAAGATGTGGGCTTTTCCTGTTCAGAAAGGTTGCAGTTGCTGGAGGCACTTAGCCTCTACCGATGGTTGGGTGGTGCAACTGTCATTCAGGACAGCTTACAGGCACCCAGACATTGAATTTTTCAGGCTTCTTGGACTTTTCTACTGTGTCATCATCTGCTACCTTCCTCAGAGCTTGTTTCAGTGCTAATGATGTTCTTGGGGCCATTGCTGTCACTGCATCAGCTGGTCTGGCTGACATTCTACTCTGTTTCCCCTGGCAGCTGCCACAATTATTTATTCCTCTTGGTTCAGCTCCCATGTTCCCAGTTCTTTCTGTACAGTATTCTTTTTTGTATACTTCAACTTTTTGCTATTTTTCTCTTTATTTCTTCCAACTTCCACCTTCAATGTTCCTTTTCTCTGACTCTTTCTATCTTCCTTTCTTCACTGTAATTTCCTGTTCAAATAAGTATAGTTAAGGACCCTTCAAAGGGGAAGAAGGAAGTGTTGGCGTTCCTTTGTTTTACATCCCTCTTCATAGTATAGAATGTATTTAATAAATTTTAATCTGCTTAATAATACTCTAAAATTGAGCTACATTTGCAGAATTATATATACTTTGGAAGAAGTGACACACACAAAACTAAAGACAAATATGGTTTCTTTCCTATAAAGAAAATTACCGGGATATTTTCTAGCCTCTGCTAAGCAGATAAATCATCCTAAATTTCAGATGGCTAGGCACAAGGGTTATATGTTGTGATTCAACAATTACCAAACTAAAGATTCATGTTCTAGTTAATGAAAAATATGCCAGACTGTGGCAAGAATGGTGAAAAAAATAGCTGTTTTGCAATAACATTTCTGATTTAATAAGCTTATGGAAATCTTACCTGCACTCATTAGACCTTTTAAAATTAATATCTGAGAATACTTGCAGTCCTTAGGTTGACAGTCTTCATGGATTCTAGTGTTAATTTCAGTTTGAGACCCCATTCTGGGACAGCTCTTTGAATTTCTAGTCTACCTGGAATTTCCTGGTAGTTTCCTTCCCAACTATTAATCTGGTTTGTCTCTGCAATGTCAGGCAAGTGCTGCCTCCTGTTTGAAGTTGACATTAAACGTTCCCTCAATTAATCCAAGAGTTTATTCTCTGCTACTGTAATACACATCCCAAAGGAGTCAAGTAATTATTCTATTTGCTGTTCAGCAGTAACATCATTCCAGAACACTTTATTCCATGGTATTCAAGTAGCTCCAATTAACAATAGTTCTTGTGCTTCATCCACTTATGAATAATAATCTAGACTTCTTTTGAAACTGTTGGTGTTCTTGCTTTAGCTTGATAAGAATGTTTCTGCACCTAGAAAGGACCTCATTTTAACCCTGTGGCAAAAACCAGTGCCACACAGGCTTCCATTCTGCAATTTACTAATTCTCTATATATACACCCAAACCCAGAATCCAAAGTACAAGGTAATAACCTGCTTAAAAAATATCAGAAACAGAAATTACCTTTTGGGTGCCAAAACAAGTGAGTGTTGGCTACGCAAATCTTTCTTGAAGAATCATTTTGAGACTGAAGGACAGAAACCTACAAGAAAAATGTTTATGAATTCTAATACCACATATACAGATACTGTATATAGTATCTAAGTTAGGGAAATGATAAAAGAGCATAGTAGTTGGAATTCTTTCCAACCTCTCCAAAAATAGTTCTGTCATAAGGCACAAGTCTGGCAATAAAGGAGAGGGGTGTCTTATGTGAGATGTCATATGATTGCTTTGATCAATAATCACATTCTTGGCACTCCTGGTTGTGAGTGGAAGGGCTATCTGCTGGAGGGTTTCAACCATGTGAAGCTAAATCTTTTTAAGAGCAAAAAGAATTGTCTTATGGAGGGATTCAGTTTGGTGCAGGGCTGAAATCCTCAGGCTCAATTCTACATACAGCTGAAAATGCTCAATTCTACATACAGCTGAAATCCTCCAGCAATCTTTTTGCTCTCAGAATTCTTTCCCTGAGGGGTTCAGCTCTGTGGGGAGTGGATATCCTCTGACAGGACATTCTTTCAGCCAGCTCCAGAGACCAAAAAGAGTCTTCTCTATAGGTGGCAACAGCTTGCAATCTTCCCTGCTGGCTTCTTGATTTTCTGAGAAAGTTTGGGGAGAATATTGTAAACAGCCATCATTATGGGGTGTTTGGCAACCAGTCCTAAGTGTGAACAGGTTGCCAAGCACCCAAATCATAATCACATGATTGCAGATTGGGTGTGCATATGTATGAATATGTAACATTTTGCAATGGCCAGAAATGCCACACTTTTTAGACAGTTGTTAAATAGCTGTAAGTCAAAGACTCTCTGTGGGGAAGTCTGCAACATTCCAAACTACTGCCCACCTTTTTCTTCCATAGTAATATATTAGGACATTTTTCATCCATAAACCTGGTTGAATCCAACTCATTTTATACACAAATCATATTGTTGGCTTTTCCCCACACCAAATTTGGTCCCATTCTATTTTACTTTTAGAGAACTATCCTGCTGATGGACAAAATCCAGGCCCCTTTACATAATTTATTTCCAACATTTAAGTGGGTTAAAAAGAATAAAATGAAGTCTGAAAGCATGCAGCATATGGCTTCTGAAGTTGCTTGCAATCCTCACTTGCAGCATTCCCATCACATGACCATGAAGGAGGCAGATTTACAAGTGGAGCATTTCAAGTCACAGTACAGTTGCCTCTCTGGGAAAGATACATCAAATGAATGCTTTCTGGACCTGTTTTTCACTGCATCTCCCAGCCCAATGTTTGCACTCAATATAACTTTTCCAACTTATCTCTCCTTTTCTTCTATTTTCAGAGAGTTATCCTGCCAACAAAGTCAAAAATCCCTTTAGAAAATTTATTTTCCTCATTCAAAGAACACCAAATAAAAAAGGACTAACTACTTTATATTTGAGGGGCTGGTTATTGTGCTCCACCTATACAGTATCTCAGTAATTTTCCACCTTGGTCGATTTATGAGGAATTTATCTCACTTTCTTTTTCCTTGAAACCATGTTTTTATTATGTTTTCTTAACAAAGTAAAAACTGCCTCAAGGTACCAAAAGATGCCAGTTTGGGGAATTCAGAAAGTTCTGACTTTGAATGTCTCAATGAAAGTCCCTTTAACTTAAACTGCAAACGCACTTCCCTACCTCCCTCTAGCCACCCCACCATTCCCTTCAGGCAAGAGGGACTAATAAGGCCTACCTGTAGAGCTGAGGATCGCTTAAGCAGGCTTTCCTCGACCTGCGGGCAGGTCGCCACCTTGTCCCGCAGTTCTCTCTGCAAGGGATCTTCAAGCAGAGCCTGGTTGAAGGCAATGTCGTGCTGACTAAGGAGACGGAATTTGTCCCTTCGGTAGAAAGTGGCCAGGCCTTCGTGCTGCCTCTCTTTGATCCGGAACAGCCCCTCCAGGCCGAAGGCGTCAAGGGCAGGACCCAGGCTATCCACAAAGACCGACTTGTCTACCTCCTGCAGGCAAATGATGTCGGCGTTGTAGCCAGCCAGTTCTTTTTTGAGCAGGTTTTGCCGGTAGTCGAGCTCCAGCGAATAGGGAGCACAATACGGATAAAGGACGGTCCGCGAGAGCTCAGTCCTGGCGTAGATGTCGGCCAGGATGTTATAGGAAACCACGCGGATCAGTCCCGGAGCCGCGATTTTCTTGGTGTAGAGATGCCGCGCTTCGAAAGTGCAAGCGCCCGGGCCAGCCTCCACGGGGCCTACACTTTCCGCCTCGCGGGGCAGCCCGTAGCGCTGCTCGCCGTTGCCCGGGATGCACACGAGTTTCAGGCGGCGTCCAATCTGCGCGTTGGTCGGCATGAAGACGCGCTCGGAGCCGGCCGGGTCTTCCACCCAGCTGTTGCTCGCGGCGGCCGACGATGTCTCAGCCGGCTCGATCTTCTGCTCGTAATACCAACGGAAGAGGCAGTCCCGGGCGGAGCCGAACTCGACTTGGAGCTTGGGGCACACGGGGAAGCCGGCCATGAGAGAGCGCGGGAGCTGCACCTCGGTCAGCGTGGGCGGATTGCGCTCCACGCGGTAGCGGGTCTCGCCTATTTGCAGCACCGACCCGTCTTTCCAGGCCTCCTCGTTGGGCACGTCCTCGGCCACGGCTTCCCCGTCCTGGGAGAAAAGGCGAACGGGGACGAGCTCAGAAGGCGTCCCGGGTTCGGGCTCGGACTGCGCTTTCTTGCTCTTCTTGGCCTTCTTGGCATGGCCTTTGCTGACGTTGTTGGCGATGCGAGCCAGCGCCTGGCCCAACGGCTCCGTTTGGTCTCGGTGCACATGCCGGGTCTTACCGTCTTGCAGCACGATGGAAACGCTGAGCTTAGGTTCCGCCGGCACGCAACGCACCACCGCCCGCTCCATGGTGACGGTGGACAACCACCAAGTCAGCCGCTGCTTGGCCGGACGCCTTAACACGGGAAAGACCTTCAAAGTGCTCAGCAAACGCCGCAAAAGCCCGTGGCTGACACCATTCATTTGCTCGTCTGCTCGCTCGCCCCACAGCACAGAATCACTTGGGCCGCCCTGCCCAGCTCCGCGAGGGCCAATGAGAAAGCTCGCAGCGAGGGAACAGGAAGGAGGAAGCGCGACCCGGCAAAGGAAACCAGCGCTTGCCGGAAATGGCGCCTCGACCCTGAGGGCTGATTAAACGAGGTAGCGGAACAAAAGGGGAGGAGAATTAAAGGACCCGGAAGATGGCGAATCTCTTTAGGCGTAGCTCTGAATTTACGAAGCACCACTGACCGGAAATAGTCGTTCTCCGTCAGCGGCTTGCCTTGTGCTTGTGGGTTTGTTCTTTTCTCTACACCAGAACTGAATGAGTCGTGGTAGGCACTTCAGAATTAGGTGTTTTAGTAGATTATAAAAGTGTATTAAGGCCAGGTGCAAAAACAATAGCAAAATCTGTTATGCATGTCAGGAGCTCTAAAGCACTAATATAGAGAGGCATGGAACTGCTCTTTATTGTTAATGTTAAAAAGTGGCAAAAAACTTAATGTTAAGCGTATTTTTTGTTTTAACAATTCACTGCAAATTAGAAAATTAGAGGCAAAGAAACTGAAGAGGGACTACTTTTTCAGGGATTGGGTAGAAGTACAAATTATTAACTCCATTTTACTTGGAAGTATTTAAATATCACTGCAAAGAAATTAAGACTAATAGCTTTAGCTTGATTTCTAGTAACCAGGCTAGAAATCAGGAGACTCTGAATTCTAATATCACTTTAGGCATGAAAGCCAGCTGAGTGTCTTTGGGCCAGTCTCAGCCCAATCCACTTTGCAGGGTGGTTGTTCTGGAGAAAATAGAAGGGAGTATTATGTATGTTTGCTGCCTTCAGTTGACTATAAAAATGAGGGATGGATAAAAATTAAAAATAAAAACTTTATAGACCTGTCCATGAAAGTTTTCTTAATGCTGTGATTTTCTGAGCCTGTACACGTGTAAATTGGATTCCTATTTTATATAGTGTGCATCTTTTAATCTCTTAAAAATTGTACTGTGTTTGGTTTTCTTTGTAATAGATTTTTTAACTAATGGATAAGTATTATCCACTTCCATAGGGACAAATTTTCAGAGACAAGGGACTTCTCCAAGTACATTATGCTGTAGGAAGAAAACACACTTGCCACATAGACAACGCTTTTTTCCAACAGGCTTTTTTCCAACAGCCTTCCCCAACAGAGCTAGAGACAAAATCATGGGAAGCCAACCAGCACTGGCAAGCAAACATTAACATATTTTATGTCAAAGTCCATTTTTACCATAAATATTACCATTCTGAGCATTCTAAGTTCATAATCTACCTTTTGATTGCTCTACTGCATGTCATGCTATTGAAATAAAACTTTGCCTCTACTTCAAGCAGTTGTCCTGCATCCTTCATCAGGTAACATGGTTTGGAATAGGCCAAGAAACTTTTAGATCTACACAGGATATCTGAAATGTCAATTTGTTGTCAGTGTTCACACCTTGAAAATATACTGCATAAATAATGGTGTGCAATCTTTTTTGACCCAAAGGGTAAGAAAAGGCACTAAATAGTTGTCAGATATGATGGAATAGAGCACCTGCGATAAACCAGTTGACCACTTATTCAGTTTGTATTCTGACAAGAGCCAAATTTATCATATTTGTTATGTTCAACTTCCATGTCTGAAACAAGTTGTTTTGAATACCAGTTATTGAAGATCAACTATAGATGACAGCTGTTGTCATCCTATTCAGCTTCTGAGTTTTCCAGATTCTCATAGTAGGAAATAGACACACCTTTGGCCTGTGCTAATAGAGCTCTTATGTTCAAGTTAAGGCATTTTACAAATAAACCTTTATGTACTGTATAAAAATATGCCAATGTAATTAGTTGAGATTCAGTTCAGATAAATTTAAATTTCAAAAAATAAAGATCAGATAGTTTTCATTCTAACTAGTTTTGTTTCATTTGTTTCAAAATTTGTATCTAATATTTCTATACGTGGGTCATGAACAGTACACATTAGGGAATGTATAATAAAACAAAAATATGAATAAAAACACCTCAACAGCAGTATATGAACAGCTATTCTAGCAAACGTCACAGAAAAAATGTTTACTTTGACAAAGTAATTTTATTTGCATACTTAAAGAGCAAAAATCCTTATTTATTCTTCAAGTTATATTTTTCTTGGCAATAAAATGTCTATTTGGTTTAATGATACAATAAATTTCACTTGACTGGGTTTTTATATTGTAATATGCTTAACCATGTTCATTCAATCCAATTTGGGGGTTTGCACAATATTGTGGTTACAAATACAAACATACTAATTTGTGATGCAGTATATTGGATGAACATTGTCAGTCATACTTAAACCAGAAGGTACAAACTGCAATATTTAGCTTCACACATTAAGAAAAAAGTTAATCAAACCCAAATTTGCTTTTGTATATTAGCAAATTTTTGTGAATGTAGTTAAGAATCTCAGAAAGTTACCACCAATTCTAAGCAGTTTCTAGTTGCAGGATTTGTTACACAGATTCCATCCATTCACTATAAAAATGCTCAGTTTCAGAGCTTGTTTTTGTGCTTATCATCCAGCATTGTGTCACAGTGGCAATTTACTGAAGTAATTCTTTTTGAGGACAATTTTGAGGACAATGTAAGGAAGCCATGGGAATAGTAGGGCTTCTTGAACTCCTAAACACACAATATGATAGAAACATAAAGTTGCAAAACTCACCATGATTATTCAGGCATCAAAAGTACCCACCACCAGTACATGTATTTATTCTCAGAGTGAATAATCTTTCAGCAGGGTTCTTCACTTTCTAGATAGTAATCAGTCTGAAGAAATTAACTACACCGGTTCTGCATCTGAATCTGAGTAGACTCTTGTTCCATCCTTCTCGAAGTTATTTCCAATGGAACACCAAGAACACTTTTGAATAAATATTTTGCTTTAACAAATCTTTGCATTGGTTCACATTGTATCATTCAGCACACTAAGGATTATAATACTACCTCTTTTTATGAATCCATTCAGCAATTAAAGATTCTTACTGTAGCTCTTTATAATCCTATGCAACAAAATAAAGTAACTTTTCATATTTGTGTATGTTGGAAAAGAGAATGAAGTAGGGAGGTACATTCCAAATTTCTTGCTTCCTTTAATCTTCAAGAGCCAGAAAATATTAGGTATTGCCAGGCAATACAGGATAAACAATGAGCTAGATGAACTAATATTTGGGTCTGGAGTAAGCCAGTCTCTTATCCCTTCAATTTATATTTTACTTTTTCTCCAGGACCTCAACACAGCTTACACAAAAAGTCTTATTCATTTTATCCGCACAATAATCACAGTGAGTTGAAACTCTGAAAATCATTCAATTTCTTGGTCTCAGCACATCTGAACCGCCACCGGCTTTTACATACATTAGGGGTCCTCTGAATAACCTCCACCGGCTTTTACATACATTAGGGGTCCTCTGAATAGCACTATTTTTCCGGCTCAATATTTTAAAAAGAAACCCGAATCATCTCGTTGAAGTGATATTTCGTTTCTTGTCACTCCTATTTTTAACGACAATATAATTAACATTTCCAGAGTTACTTAAAATGTTGCTCGTGGGACTCCTCTTAATGGAGCTCAACTGCTAACTTAAGTGGCAGCGAAGTGTCTCTGAGCAAGATAAGGACGCCTTTTCCTCACGGTGTTCGTTTTTAACCACCCTCCGGGAAAGGCAGGAATTCAAAGATAAAAGAGGCGCAATTTGGCACCGGCCCAACGGTGCGTCCCTTTTGGAGAAATAAAGCAAAGTCAACACCCCCACCCCCCACCCCAGTAGAGCGCTTCCACCTCCCGGTTTAAGCAGCGAAGAAACCCCTTCTTCCAGCTAAGCCTCGGGCATGGCGAGCCTTCCTCGCGCGGCGGGTAAATTTGAAGCGGAGGGTGGGACCCGTCCGCCAAACAGACTACCTCGTTCCCATAGCAACCAACGCCTTGTTGACAACCCAGTCCCGCGCTTGTGGAGTTGGACGCCAGGCCTTCTTGCTTTCCTCGGTCCTCTTTTCTCGGCCAAACCCAACCGTTCCCAACCTTGCTTGGAGCACCATCCCTGAGAGAGGTGAGCGGCCCAGAACGTGACAAGACAACTGGGCTTGTCGCCCGGATGCCTCCCAAACGTGGCTGCAGACGGAGAGAGAGCGAGATATATTTTAAGCAAGGGGGTGTTTTATGGCTCCAGGATTGCAGTTGGCATTCCTTCTGCTGCCTGCTTGGAGACTTACTGTATTTTCCGGGATGGGGCAAGGCAGCTGTTGCTGCAAATGAAGCTGCCCTGCTCTTCCTGAAAAACCAACCCACTGTTGAGTTCACAGCACTTTTCCTTCCTATATAGATGCTGCTTAATTAAATTGATCCTGAAAGTTATTACCATAGTTTCCATTATTTATTGGAATTTTGAAAAATAACTATCGGTCAAATGAAATGCATATAAAGTTATATAACACTGCACTTATCAACAGAATTACTTCATATTATATATTAAGTTTTGACTTCCACCCATCTCTGCATAAGCAGTAAATTAACATCTTTATCTGCTTTAAAATGATTGCCATAATCTGATCTTTATGAAAATTAGTTTAATAATCTTACTGTTTTTCCCTCTGTCAAAAAATATATATTTTATTTTAGATGTCAGCTCCAAGTAAATCAACAAACTCTCCTGATGAAGATGAAGATGTATGGAACCTTCAGTTACCACCTATAGCTCTTCCTTCCACATCTAAGGAGTTGACTGAAAAACAGAAGAAATTGATGAAATACCGAAGAGTAATGGAACAGCAGAAGATGCTTAACAAAATCATGTAATTTCTCTCTTTCTGTACATCAATTATTACGGAGTGGTAGTGGTTGTGCTTGCCTTATTCTCTGTGCTAGGGCTCAAAAGGCAGTTTGTAGATTCCTACCTGACACACGTCTTGCATACTTTTCTACCTATACATCTTTGCCTCAAATTGCTGGACATACAGATATTAGCAGATTATCATGTTTAATTCAGTATCAAATGCTTTACTTTAAAATGTACAGAAAAACAGATACTTAAAAGGTAAAACATCCAGCATGAGCTGAGCTTACATAATACAATGGTATAAATCATGGCTCATGATTGCAGGTAGTCCTCAACTTAAGACCATTCACTTAGCAATTGTTCAGAGTTATAATGTGATAAAAAAAAAGTAGCTTATGACTGGTCTTTGCACTTACAACTGTTGTAGCATCCCCTTGGTGGTGTGATCATGATCTGAGTGCTTGGAAACCAGCTTGCATTTACAACAGTTGCAGCATCCTGGTGTCACATGATCACCATTTGCAATCTTCCCAGCTGGCTTCTGACAAGCAAAGTTCCCCCAATGGAAGAGAAGGTTGCAAGTGACCCCCTCCGCTTTGCTGTTAGTCATTCTCTTTTTGTCTTTCTTTCCACCTTTCCCATCATTATAGAATTCTCAAGGAAGCTAGATCTTTTCATAGTGTGTCCAAAAATTGAGCCTGGCCATTTGTGCCTCCAATGAGAACTCTGGATTAATTTCTTTAATGATCCAATTGATTGTTTTATGGGCTATCAATAGTATTCTCAGAAATCCTCTTCAACACCACGATTCAAAAGTGTTGAATGTCAATATGTTTTTTATCCTGCTTTTTCCAATGCAAATTTCTCTTCCATAAACACTTAGAAGGAAAACTTTTTTTTTTTGATAAAGTTTTTTTATTTTTTTAAAAAGCATACACCATTATCATTTTGTGAACAGTGTGGTACTGAGTGTCATTTTATACAAAAACAGTAATAATATAGAAAAAATTATTAAATCCAGCTTACATGATCTAATGTTGTTATACATAACTGTATCAGTACTTAATCCTTCATTTTTCAATTATTGATATTTGCCATAGTCTTCTAATAGTAATAGCTTTTATTATTTTGCATACCTAGTAGCCTCCTTTTTCAATTCTAATCTTAACTTTTATGTTCACTTTATATATATTGAGTAAAAGTATGTATAACAATGTTTCCTCATTTCTAAATTTTATATCTATTCTAATTTTTAATATGGCCAATCTTAGAAGTTGCTACATTAATCTAGTATTGTTATACATAATTATGTCAATTCATAATTCTTTGTTATTACATTATTCAATATTTGCTACCTCCTTCTAGTAGTAATAGTATTGTTTTTGAGCATACCTAATAACATCCTTTTCCAAGCTCTCAACTTCTGATATTTACTTTAAATATTGTGTTGGGTAAAAAAAAATGTATAACAAATATTTCCCCTATTTCTATAGCATATATCTATTCTAGTCTTAGGCCGGTCTCATTTTTCTTTCTTTTTAAAAGAAAAATCTTTCCTATCCATCGTCTCTCATTTTCTTAGAAGTTACATTCAGAAGGAAAACCTTTTCTTACACAGTTCTGGTAGTTGTAACTATAGGCACACCTCCACATCTGTATATTTTTTCCAAGACCTTCATACTACCCTTCAAACACTAGTCTAATGCATATCCCTTGATTGTTGAAGCTTGATGTCAGGCAGGAAAGACCAGGTTCCCACGTGAAGATTCAATTGAACTGATTTATTGCTAAAAGCCTATGTATAAGGGAATTTTTTCAGTCACTACCTGGTTAGAATTAGATAAGGGTCAACGGCACTCAAGGGTGGGTTGGACTTAGTTCTCTTGTGGCTATGTAAGGATTATAGACTGACCCCTCTTTTCACCCAACCCCAGGTTTTGCCATTCCTTCTACATTTTTACCATTGATAGCTAATAGGCAGAAGTTATCATCTGTTTCAAAATGTTCATTGTTAGTTGTAAAGCTTGATTTGTTGTGATTAGTTTTCTTTATACTATTTCATATTTTTCCAAACATTGCCGCATATTTTCTTCAACATCATTTCTGTACTCTTCTACATTTACCTTGTTTTAACATGTCACTTTTCATCTCTGATGTCTTTGGAATACTGCTTCTTGCCTCCCCTGTTTGAAATACTTTGCTCCTTCCTGAGATCTTTTTCTTCTTTGGCTTTAGCTTCTCTTTTTGGCAATTTAAAGTTCGTTCTGACATCCAATTTACTTTCCTCTTTTTCTTGGTCTTTGTCGCTTTTCACATTCATCTGTAATAACATACTTGAGTTCATTCCAGAGTTTCTCTGGTTCTGTCAGATGTGGAAAACCAAGAATGACACATGTAAATGCGCAAAGTAAGTTTTTTTTTTGCTGTTCACCTAAATATACAGAATCTTCCCAGACTAAAGCACACTTTGCATAATAGTCTATGACGTCTAATTATCTCATCCCACTGGGATTACCCTGCCCAATCTGTGCTGGTAGAGGAGGCATGCTTTGAACTCCATTTATAAAGGAATTCCAATCACTGGGGTCCAGAAGAAGGGCCTTCTCTGCCATTATGTCCTTCCTCAGGAACTTTGCTCTGCCAGATGGCTCGGGGCCCTAACCAGGGAGTATCACATTGGAGGTGATTGTTGAATTAAGAGGCAATCCCCTCTTCCCCCACTCCCGTGCATCCTGTTCCTTCATCCCCATCATTTAATTATATTTTATTTTGATTGGGATTTCTATTTTTATTCTTTTAAAGTTATTTATTTGTTAGGATCTTGATGTTTTAATTCTGGAAGCCTCCCACAGTCAAATCATTACAAGATGGGTGGCAAATAAATTAAATAAACATTATTCAGTTATTAACTATGTTGTACTAAGTGATCTTGACTTGGTTCTTTAATTGATTTGTCTGTTATGTTTCACTGATAGATGGGCATTTGTACAAATTTGTTAAGTGTACAATTTTTGCTACATGTTTCCTAAATATGAAAGCAACATAAATTCTCCTTTGTTATTTTCTGAATACTAAACAGTGAGTTATTTTGACTATAAATCATCCAATTCCAATTTATATCAGTTTCCTGATCCCAAGATGACAATGTCTATTTGATTCATTTCATCTTCATTGAATTCAGATTTTCTATATTGATGCTTCTTATTTCTCACATTTTCACCATCTATGCAGCTTTGGATTTTATTTTTCTGCATGGCAATATCTGCAATCAGATATTCTGAAGGTTTTAAATTAACCTTCATAATGTTAAAACACCATTAGTACTCCAAAAATCCTTAGCTTTTTCTCAGTAGTATGTTAAGTGCCACCGAATCTGAAGGCCATCATCTGGTACTATGTCATCGATCATTTTATGTTGTCTATCCATGTGATTTTCTTGTTAAAATATAGGAGTGGTTTACCAATGACTTTTCCCATGCAATATGAAGTCATGCCTTTGCTGTTGTCACTAAAGTGATAATCTGTTTCCAACAACTTATATTGCTACTGTCTGTTGCTTTAATTGGATAGCTGGGTTGACTTTCATCCATTGGATGACCTTACTGAGAATATATATTTTTGGTATATATTACTGGTCTTCTTTCATCTTTCCCTGGAATATACCACTATTGCCATCATCATGATGGACTGTAAGAGGAGAGAACTAAATTTAAAGTAGGAGTAAAATAGATGTTGAGACTCTAGAAAGAATGCAGAGAAGATCAATACATATTATTAAGGAACTGGAGGTGAAAACATATAAAGAACATTTGTGGGAATTTCATTAAATGTCTAATTTAATGAAAAGAAGAAGTAAGGGGGACATGATAGCGGTGTTCCAATATTTAAGGGTTGCCACAAAAAAGAGGGGTCAACTCATTCTCCAAAGCACCTAAAGACAGGATAAGAAGCAATGGATGAAAACTAAATTGAGAGAGCCAACTTAGAACTAAGGAGAAATTTCCTGACGGAACAATTAATCAGTGGAACGGTTTGCCTCAGATGTTGTGGGTGCTCTAACACTGGAGGTTTTTAAGAAGAGATTGGACACATTTGTTTAAAATGGCATAGGGTTTCTTGCTTGAATAGGGGATTGGACTAGAAGTCATCCAAGGTCCCTTTTGACTCTGTTATTCTGCTAATAAATTATAAATAATTAAATGGCTAATCCTTCTCAAATCTATATGATTTAATTTGATTATGTTTGAATGTTAGCCAGGTTGCCATTCAGTAACAACAATCTTGGTAAGAAATAGATAGAAGTCTGAGACACTTACAGAAATATAAAAGAAATTTATATTGCTCACTATTTTTTGTTCAGAATTAATGTTGCCACAAAAGATTATACAATGTCCATGGAGGAATTTGTTAACAGAGACCCTGAGCCTGTTGCTCCACAACTGCCTTATACTGTAAGTTTTTTTATTTCAATATATATGGATAATAATTGTTCGGGTTTTGTTTCTCTTTACAGCACTGTCATATCACTCTGTGTTGTATTCAGGCCCAATGAATTGCTAGTGCATTAATCTCATGAATTCAAACCAGTTTGCACACATCTTCTTTTACCTTACTGAATATGATTTATTCTATGAAAAATCCTGGTGAAAAGCAACAGGCCCATGCTTTTTCAAGTAGTTACATATAAACCCTGTCAGTAAAGAAAAATTCTGTCAGCAAGTTTCAACAAAATATTAAACAAATTGAGGGGCAGTTTCAGAGAAATAAGAAATTTTGGTGTGAGAGAACCAGCAACTCTTTGCCTTTTGGAAAATAGAGGGGGAAAAGACAACACTCTGAGCGGTTCATAAATAGCACTAAGCCATTCTGTTGGTTTTTACTTATTGTAATTCATTCAACAAACTACAGGTCAAGAAATCACAGGTTAGTAGTGTATAAATCCTACTATTGAGTCTATTTCAATCCTAACCAAAGAATTTATGAAATTCTCATAGCCTTAGGTAGCAGATAATTTCAGTTATGCAAAAGAGGAACATGTGAAAAGTTTTCGTATTAGAATAAGCACTTTATCACTTTAGCTATTAAGAAGATATAGTATCGTTTTTTGGGCAGGTGTTAACAAAGTTCCTTGTTTTTGAATTTTTAACTTTTATTGCATAAATGCTTCCATTGAGCTCTGGAAATAACTAAGATCTATTTCATGGAATTTATATTAACCATTTTGAGGGCCTTTGTGTTAGAAAGATGGAATAGATAGAATAAATATATAAAGTATGTTTTCCTGCCATGTCTTATAATAATTTTTAGGTCAGGAATTAGTTGATTATTTTGAAAGGATAGTTTTTTCATTCAAAGTCAGATTGCACTACATCTCTATATATTTTCTTACTGTTTTTTCCCCCTCACCATTAATACTCTACTTAGTTCCCTTTCTTTCTGCAGGTCTATACTAGCTGACTGAGTTTCAGATATCAGCAACAGTACAAACAGGAGGAGTTTTAATTTATCGCATAGCTATTAAAAGTTATGGTTTAGTCTGATTGAATTTTGGACAGAAGTATTTTTTTCATTGACACTACCAAGAATTTCTCATTCAATTTTGTGATCTTTTCTTATTTCCCCCCCCAACAGATGAACAGTGAACAGAAACAAATTAGAGTAAGTGAAGGATTTAAGGATTTTTAAAAGGCCTGTTATGATTGTAACATGTTGCATAAACTTTATAAGTTTTATGAGATATGGAAATGTGGCTAATATTTGTAGTGTTTGTTGTTCTTTATCCATAGAACTAACATATAAATGATGAAGATGCTCAATATTATTTATTAATGTAATTTGAAGATCATACTTGTTAGGGTATCCCAGTATTGCAAATTATTAATTTAATTTGACAGTTATGTTCATGGTTTTGGTAGCCTTGTCAAATCAAAATTATAAAGATTTTGATTAAAATATTAGTAACATTAATTTCTGATTTTTAAAATGGTATTCAAATTTACACATTATACATTAAATACTGAGCATCAATCAGCAAATGATGCTAAACATATTCTCTCCTGCATGGGGAGACAAAAATAAGTTAGAGTTTGTTCATTCCTGGGAGTTTGTGTAGTTTCTGTAATATTTTATCTAATTAGCACAATTTGGAAAACTTTGCCTTAAAACTGAAAGAACGGTAATCAGGCTGTTTCAGCTGGAGGCAATAAAAAAGACACAAAGTCAACATCGTATGGTGTTGTCCTTTAGCAACAGCTAGCAAGACATTCTCAACCTTTAGAATATGGAACATAAAGAAAAGCTCTCAGAGTAATATTACAATGTGTATTTTCAAATCACAAATAATAAAAAGTGTTAGTTTTATTTAATTACATAACGATGGTTTCATTTCAGAATAATTATCTCTTTATGAAGAAATGTGTTGAAAGTAATCCAGTAGTACCTATTCAGCAGGAGTGGTTAATCTCCATGCTCACATTGGTGCCTCAGTCTCTCATGGAGGGCAAGGATAGAGAGAAACTGGTTGAAGAACTCTTAAATGAGATAACAGATGATTATGAAATGAGTATGAAAAGATTTATGGGTAAGTTCATTATTATGTTAGAGTAATACCCATTTTCCCTTACATTCTTCTATATATTTCTTTGTATAACATAAAATATAAAATGTATTTCTTGCCTAGATAGCAAAAAATATATTGATCATTACAACCATTCATTTAGTCACCTTTCAATGTTAAGAAGGCATTGACAAAAGTGATTTACAACTGTTTTCCACACTTATGACCATTGGAGCATCCCCATGGTCACATGATGAAAATTTGCATGCATGGCAACTGGTTCATATTTATGATGGTTGCAGTGTCCTGGGGTCAGGTGATCACCTTTTGTGACCTTCTGACAAGCAATGTCATTGGAGAAGCCAGATTCATTAAACAACCATGTTACTAACTTAACAATCCAGGAATAAACTTAGCATTTGATATCCCTAAAGTGTGCTGTAGTTTCTGTGTTCTTCTTACATGTTTTTAAAAGCCAAATCAGTGTCAATTATTTTGTTGAAAATAAACCATTTAAAAATTATTCTATAAGTAATATGCTTATATGCTTATGTTTCTCAAAATATCAGCGTATTTCTGTAATGTTCTGAATAGTCCTTGAAGTTAAATATAATTTTTAAAATATTACTTTTAAATAGCATTTCCTAACACATATTTCCAATATATCACAGTACGAAGTGTTCTTATCAAGCCTGAAGTAAAATTACTTGAATATGAAAAAGAAGGACCTTTGGCAGTTGAACCTGTGTGAGTAAATTATATTAATACAGCTATCTGGTGTCAATGAGTTTCTCAAGAGCTCTACACCTCCCAACCCAGGCAGGGAGGCAGGGCCTATTAGATTGGTCTGACCCTGTCGACTAATGGATCTGGATGGATTCCAGAAGCAGCTGAGGGTTATAACTGCAGATCTACTGTGCAGTCCAGCCAAACTCTTAGTCACTGTTTGGAATAGGAAGGTGATTGAGGCTTTGGATAGGATTGTACCCATGCGACCTCTCCTCAACCGTAGACCTCTCTGTGCCCCATGGTATACAGAGGTACTGAGAGGGATGAAACACATGAGGAGATGTCTAGAATGCTGCTGGCAGAAGACAAGGGATGAACTCGATTGAACATGGGTAAGAGCTGCTACTAAGGCCTACCTTGTGGCAATTCATGCGACGAAATGTAAATACTTCCCCATACTAATTGCATCTGCAGATAATCACCCAGACACCCTCTTTAAGGTGAGCCTCCTCCTCCTGGGGAAGGGGGAGATTGGGGTCCACCTGAAGCAGCACCCTGAGGAATTTGTGGATTTTCCTGAAAACAAAACCGCTCGACTTCGTTCCCAGTTAGATGCCAGCATGGTTGCTGATCCAGTGGAAACCCCTGAGGCAGGTTCTTGTCCTGTTATCTGGGAACAGTTTGACCCTGTTGCTCCCAAGGAAGTGGACAGGATGCTAGGGAGTATGCGTGCAAACACCTGTGTTTTAGACCCATGTCCCTCCTGGCTTGTGAAAGCTTCCCAGGAGATGACAGACAGGTGGACTCTGGCGGTGATAAATGCTTCCCTAAAGGAGAGGACAGTGCCCCAGCACTTTAAGGAGGTTGTGGTCTGCCCTCTTTTTAAGAAGCCATCATCGGACTCCAACCAGTTGGATAATTTCTGTCTCCAATCTTCCCTTTTTGGGGACGGTTGTTGAGAAGGTGGTTGTGCAGCAGCTCCAGAGGTTTCTGGATGAAATGGATTATCTCAACCCCTACCAGTCAGGATTCAGGCCTGGATTTGGGACAGAAACAGCATTGGTCACACTTTTAGATAATCTCTGATGGGAGCCGGATGGAGTAGTGCATCCATCCTTGTTCTATTTGACCTCTCTGCGGCTTTCGATACCATCAACCATGGTATTCTCCTGGGGCAGCTTCGGGGGATGGGAGTAGGAGGCCTTGTGCTATCCTGGTTCACTTCCTTCCTCTGCAGGCGCTCTCAGTGTTGATAGGAGGGAAGAGATCCAGCCCTCCCCCACTGCTTTGTGGGGTTTCACAGGGCTCGGTACTCTCTCCATTCCTATTTAACATTTATATGAAGCCGCTGGGTGAGATTATCCATCATCATGGACTGAGATATCACCAATATGCTGATGATATTCAGCTGTATGTCTTGGCCCGTGGTGAGTGAAGTGATGCCATGTCCTCCCTCTCACAGTGCCTGGAGGCTGTTGGGACTGGATGGGGAGCAACAAGTTGAAACTGAACTCTTGCAAGACTGAGTGGCTCTGGGTTTGGGGTTTGTTAGCTCAGGGAGAATTGCCACCTTTGGTCTTGGATGGGGTGGCACTACCCCAAACAGACCCTGTGCGTAATCTAGGGATTCTCCTGGACTCACGACTCCTGCTTGAAGAGCAGGTGGTGGTCATGGCCAGGAAGGTCTTTGTGCAATTGCGGATTGTATGCCAATTACACTCTTTCCTGGACCAATGGCCTCTACACAGTCACTCATGCCCTAGTCACTTCCTGTCTTGACTATTGCAATGAGCTCTACATGGGGCTGCCTTTGAAGAGCATCCAGAAGCTCCAGTTGATGCAAAATGCAGTGCCCTGCATGGTTTTGTGCAGATCCTGGTGTGTACCTGTCCTACGGGAGCAGCATTGGTTACCGATTTGCTTCTGGGTGCAATTCAAGGTGCTGGTTGTCACCTTTAAAGCCCTTCATGGCTTGGGATCAGGTTATCTGAGAGACCGGCTCTTGCCGGTCACATCTACCCGACCCATCAGATGGGGGAGGCAGGGAATGCTGTGGGTTCCATCCCCGAGGGAGATATACCTGGTGGGACCCAGAAGAAGGGCCTTCTCCGTGGTGGCTCTCTCTCTCTGGAATATCATTCCCTCAAAGATTAGAACAGCTTCCACTCTAATACTCTTCCGGAAGGCGCTGAAGACCTGGTTCTGCCAGCAGGCCTCAGGAACCCGAGCAGGATGGAGACCATTAAATGGCTCGTGTGATCTGCTGTCATGGGGGGGGAGGGAGATGGGAGGTGATTTTGTTATATTGTACTATATTAATTGGATTTTTTTTTGTTAGTTTTATTGTTTTAAATGTGGTTTTATATTCTGTAAGCTGCCTTGAGTCACCATGGGCAAATAGGTGGCAATATAAATTCAATAAATAAATATATATATTCCAGATGTTTTGCTAAAGCAAAAGTGGAATCTTTTTTCTTATTTCTGATAGTCTGATTTTGACTTTTAAAGATTTTAAAGCTGAAAAATGTTTTCCTGTTGTTTATTATTCAAAATTATATTATTTCTTTTTTTCTACCATGTATTTAGCATTGTCATTTTGTTTATTTGCAGAGGATTAGACTTTTCTAGACCATGGCATAAAAGTTTTATACAAGCAAGAAAACAGATTTTTGAAAATTTACATATTCTCCATCCAACTTTAAGACTTCTCCTTGAAACTGGTTACATAACATTTTCCAACTTACTTATAGTAGATGTATCTGGTTTCAGGTAACATTTATTGTTCTGGATTTAATATTCTAAATTCAAAGTATATGCATAATTCTAATTAGGTACATTGCATTGTTAAATTATTTATATTCCTTTAGCAAAATATATCACTAATAGTTTATTTTTTACAATTCAAGTTGAATGTGTTAGTATTTGGCAATTAATTTATTTAGTATTCTTAAGATGATATAAGATGCCCACCATATAATATCTACTACAGTTGATAATCTCTCCTCCACATTAATTATGAATTTATTATCCAGAGGGATTGTTACATAATCAGAGCAACATATGTATAGGCAAGAAGGAATATGAACAAGCTTGGGAAAATATCCTTGTTAGCAATCAGGAAGAAATATGTATAGACAAGAAGGAATATGAACAAGCTTGGGAAAATATCCTTGTTAACAATCAGGAAAAAATAAATTCCATTTTATGAAAAGAAAATTTAAAAAGGAAACTAGTGAAGAGAGAATGTGACTGATTAGTGGAAAATATGAAAAAAAAAGTTGAGAAGTGGAAATAGAATAACATAACTGTACTTTCCTAGAATTCTGACATTCCACATCATAATACTTCATTGCAGGCTTCACTTATTTTTATGTGAGTTTTAAATCTGGACCAAAAATACATAAATAATATAAGGACTCCAATTTTTTTATAACTATTAATTGTACATTGCTTTGTTTTTATTGTCCATTGATTTTGCTTGACATTGTTTAATTTCTTAAATTAATACAGGTCAAAAGGCCCAATAGAATGTGAATCCCTTCAAAATGATGTGTCTATAAAATGCTTAAAAACAGAAGAAAAGATATTAAACACATGGTATCCAAGGGTTATCAATCTCTTTACCAGAAAAGAAGCACTGGAGGGTGTGAAACCTGATCAAATGGATTCTTTCTATAACTGTGTGGCTACACTTATGTCTAATCAGGTCTCTTTTTCATGTCTTCATAGAGCATTATGTATGCATTTTAAGAATTTTCATTTTCCATCACTTCAGCAAAAAAAGAATTCAGATCATTTATCAAACTCTTTCTTTCAAAATACCTTTGTGAAAGGAATAAAAAAAGTATGTTTGAATCTGAATCCATGAAAGATTATTGCAAGAGTTATGTGAATGTTCATGCTTTATTCTAAATTTCAAAATGTACATATTCGTATTATGGAAGCTGTGAATAAACAAGACAATATAGAGGATGGGCTTAAGATTGCTTTAATTATGTGTACTAAACAATTTTTAAAACATTGTTTTTTAGCTGAAGGAGTTATTAAAAAGATCCGTTGAAGCTTATGTGAAGTTATTTGACTTAGAAGATCAGAGATGGCTACCATTGTTCAAAATGGAATTGACGTTTGATGATGAGAAAATGGACTTTTATCCTAGCTTTCATGATCTGGAAGATACCCTCTTATGTATTATTACTTTGATTTCGCAAACTTTGCAGGTTCTGTTTTATCTATTATACTTTAATCTCACAAAATATGTAAAATTTATATTGCTTACTAACTTATACATCAATCCTAATAATTCCCGTATACTTCAGTTTATTTTCAGGTAATGCACAGATGATTGTAAACCTCACATCCAATGCTAAATGATTTTCATTACCCATGAACATTAAAATAACTTTCTTGCACTTAACTGTTAAAACACAAACATTGTTTGAATTGTGAATCTGCTCCAGAAATAATCTGGTGAAACATAGGCATTACTATCTAGGTTGGATTCAGAGCAAAACAGTTATGTCAGTTTATTGAGAAGCAGCTAGGTACAGAATTGATTGGCTAGCTCTCAGGATATCAAAACCTCTCTTCTCTCAAACAGTCTTCAGCAGCATGGTTTTTTTAAAGTGAATGAAAAATTCTTAAGGTATATAGGCATTTCTTATGAACTCATAGTCTTCAGTAACCAGAAGTGCAGAAGACTAAATAAATGCTTGATTTCTATTAAATAGAATACTAGAGACATTGCCATTGGAAGGAGAAACTAGGCCCTGTGGAAGAAAAAATGTCAATTTTAAGGTATTTTATTCCCCAATGTAAAGTCTAGTTTTAGGTGTTACAAATAGAAAATACATGAATGGATTTATTGTGCTGTTCTATGAATAAGGCTGCTCTAAATATGAAAAGAAGTGTATACCATATGCAGAGCGCCAGTGGGGGAAAAAAGAGAAATCTTTCAGAATAGTATTCCATGAGAATCTGGATGCTACTGGTGGCAGTAGTTAGAATGCAGTATTGCAGGCAATTTCTGGGGCTCAAGGTTGACCTAGTTGTCCAACTTCCGAGGTCAGTAAAATGAGGACCCTGATTGTTCAGGGCAATATGCTGACATTGTAAATCGACCAGAGAGTGCTGTAAAGCACTATGGGGCTGTATATAAGTCTAAGTCCTATTGGTACTGCTAGAGCAAAAAGTGGATTTCTGAATGCATATTGATGATAAAAAAATAATTTAAATCTTTCTCAGCTTCTTGATTTGTAAAGACTAGGTGCATAAATAGCCCATTTCATACAGTTGGATGGTCCACAGAACTGCTGGTGAGGTCTCTTTTGGAAAATATTCACCAGTTTCTGGTCTAAAAGTAAGAGGTGATAATATTAGTTAAGAAGCAGAGTGATATGCACCATGTTCATGTTCATTCAGAAGTCATTCTGTTTATTTAAAAACAAGTCAATGTGTTCATTCAGTTTTACTCTCAATAAAAGCATATTCAGAAATAAATAAAAGCATATTCAGAAATATTCAACTACTGTAAAGCTGATAAGTACATTAATGTTTGAAGTAATTTTATGAGTTTGCACTGAACAAGCTGGTATATAAATAGCATTACATATTATGAAATTATTTCTTAAAAGCCATAAATAATCCTTGAATTTCTTTTGAATAGAATGTTCAGACAATACATTCATGGTTAGGAGGTACAAACATAGTAACAACTATTGACACTGAACTTCCTGACCATGTTATAGCATGGGCTTCATTTGTACTGAAGACAGCACTCAATGAGAATTTGAAAGGTGCAAAAGCACATTTTGATTCTTATGGTGAGTGATTTACAATTATTATTTTCAAAGTCATATCTTTAACCTTCCAAACTTAATAAAATTGCTGTTGATTTGTGGTGACTATTTTTATAGGAGAATATTAAGATCGTTTAGGACTAAAGACCAGCACACAACCCACTGATGCACAAATTGGCTTATTACAGTGCCAGAAGCAACAGATAAACCAAAAATGGGCAGGAAAGGAGTATTTTGCTTGTTTTATTTTTGTCACATTCCCTTCTTCATTTTTTTACAGAGGAAAAATATGGCTGGCTTGTAGATGGTGTTGCAGATGACCGTATTAAAACATTTATAGCTGAGGAACACAGTTTTGATGAATATGCAGAGGTAATTTTATGTATAATTTATAAGTACTCCTGGTTTTGTTCTGTAATATACATCAGATAAAATGCCATGATTCTTATTTGAATTATGCCAATTACATTTTTCCTCAACAAATCATTTATTGACTTCTGTCTGAGCTTTGGGGGATGATTTATGAGACAAAATTTATGCTTTACTCCTTAAAATATCTCAATCCCTGAAAATTTTGGCCTGCTCATTTGGAGAGGACTCTAAAAGAAACAAGAACCATAATGATGCTCACTGCAGATAATTGATTGCAGTTCCCTGATACATTTTTCTCGAATCAACCCTATGAACCAGATTTCACATTTCTAGCTATTATGAGAGTACCATAAACATTTTAGTGAAAAAAATAAGTAACCTGATTTGAAGAAATGGTATTTAGATGTCTCCTTTATACTCTTTTATTGTAGTTTGTTTGGGGTTTTGTTTTTACATCTCTATACTGCTCCAATTTTTGATTCAAGGTAGTTTGCACTGAAAATAAACATCAATACATTTAAAAAATTACACAATTTTTTACAAAAATTACACAAGAAACCCTGATTCGTCTCTGTACCAAAATCCTAGTAGAATAGGATAACTTTTCATAATGAAAGCAAGTTGGGACTCCTTTTACCTATTTTATAATGGAAAATTGCCATTAAGAATGAGCCCTCTCTTACTCTCAAATGAGATTGGGACCCAGAACAGTATTTCTTGGGAAGAATCCACAGGGTAAGCTAATTCTAGTTGGGAGAGACAGTCCTACAGGTACCTTGCTATCAATCCATGTGGCATTTTAAAGATCAAAACCGGGATTTTCGATTGGGCCCTGAAGCTTATTGATAAACAATGCTGTGATTTTAGGATATATATATGTAGCATTGTTGAACCTACATGCTGTTTACTACATTGTTTAATGATTATGATACCTTCATCTATATGCATGCCAAGTTTCAGGCATCTAGATGTGAAATTAATATTACTTTAATAGCCTATGTACTATGACCAACAAAATGAACTTCCCAGTCAAGCCACAGAGCAGCAAGCTTGTATATAATTTACAAAAAAAGGAATGTGGACTGTTCATCATCTGTAGCTTGGTATGCTAGGAACAAATATGTTGTGCTGATAGAATAATAGCTTGGTTTGTGATTATGTTCCATGCACTCAGGTTTAGTTTTTTTCCTGAAACAAAAGACAAAATGTTCCCACAGAACGCCCACCCTTAATTCCACAACCTGATTGTATGGTAGTGCCTGGAATCGCAGTTGAATTTCCCTTTAACATTGATTGCAGAAGTGCATCCTTCACTGAATCATTGGGAAGCTAGTTCATTTAGTGCAAATGTGGGCAACTGGTGGCCCATGAATTGCATAGGAACTTCAGCATTCTTTTTATGGTTCCCAGGATCTTTTTGTGGCTTCCAGAGCCACTTCCATTATATGTGGTATGAAACATTTGAATTTTGGATATGAGTAAAACAAATCTTTAAAAAAAAAATTTTTTTTTGATGGTGTATACATAATCAGTAGGAGACTGCTATTTTAGGCTTGATGTCAAAGAACAGTAGAATGCTGCCATCTACTGTCAGTGCTTTATGCAAGTAATTGTATAATGAAAATAGTACTTTATTTACATTAATCTAAACTAAACTGATCATAAAATGTTGTAATTGGTTCAATTGGAACTTTCTTCCAAAGACTTGTTTCAGCTGTATTCAATTATGCATCTATATGTAAAATAACAAATACAATCATGTTTTGAAGCTTATAGATGAATTTTTAAATCTTTCAACGGAAATAATGAGCTTGCCAATGATAGCTCACTTCTCTATGGTGCGTTTAGATTGTGATGACTTGAAGCAAGGGTTATGTGAAAAAGCAAAAAGCTTTGCATATAAATTATTGGACTTATTAGCTTCCAATCATAGAGAAGAAAATAACAAGTGAGTAATTTTTTATTACAAATTATCTCTTAGAAAAATATTGCCACACACTGTATATATCACTGTTAATTTTTCATTTTGTATTCAGGTACCTTTTGACTTCTGATCAGTTGCTTGGTGATCATTTGAAGTTATAACAGATCTCTCCCAAGTTCCAATGCCCCCCTCTCCACCTGCATTTGGTTGCTTGGCAACCGAGCTGCATTTATGGCTGTTTGCAGCAATCCTCAGACATATGACTGTATTATATGAATTTTTTGCTGAAAATTAGCATTTACTTCCAAATTGCAACATCTAACCCATAGTGAACAATGACTTCACTTAATGACTGTGGCATTCACTTAAGCAATGTGGCATAAAAGTTGTAAAATCTGGTTGGTCACTTGCTTTTTTGACCATCATGACTTATAACATAATGGGTAGATTTCATCATTGTTGTAGGTTGAGTATTACCTATACTGTTTTCTGACAGATTGATATTTCATTGTCGCACTTAAGAATTAAGTACTATGTATAGGTCTGTATCAGTGCTGGGATTCAAATTTTTTTACTACCGGTTCTGTGGGCGTGGCTTGGTGGGCATGGCAGGGGAAGGATATTGTAAAATCTCCAGACAGAGGTGGTATTTGCCGGTTCTCTGAACTACTCTAAATTTCCACTACCGGTTCTCCAGAACTGGTCAGAACCTGCTGAATACCACCTCTGGTCTGTATAGTATGCATTTGGATGTAATGATAACTAATCATTTCTTTTACATAAAAACTATACTGTAGCAACTACAGTACTGAAGGTACTAGAAACAGAAATAAACAGAATTGTATTGTAAATCTAAAATGTGTAAAACTCACATCAAAAATATTTTTTAGGATATGTAATGAATTTGAAAACATTAAAGAACGTGCATTAAAAGTTCCTGAGACAACAGAACAAATGATGGAAAGTATAGCCTTTATAGACAAGGCTAAAACCATAGGAATACAGAAGTTGTATGAAAGGATTAAGGTAAATATTTTAGGAGACCTGGTTTTTAAGTGGCAGATAGCATATTAATTTAATTTCAGCTAATCTTGATTTTTCTCCTATATTCTAAAATAAGTTGTATAAGTATTAACATCTAGTCATTGCAGCACACCACTATAATATAAACTTTTGGTTTGTTTACACAGAATGGTTTTTTAATGTTTTAATTAGAGTTGGCATTTTTGGGGTTGAGCTTGAGTCCAACATGAAGGGTGGGTGGAATTATTAGCTACTTATAGTCATTTTCAGAAGATTGAAATATATTATTTTGAGTGTTTTTTTTTCTCAAAAATAGCTGCTGTCCTCTGCCATTCCACTTCTTTCCTATCACAGCATTCATTTTCCTTTTTCTGCAGGGTCCTTATTGCAGTATTTTTGATGTTTGTGCAGGGGAGGGGAGGAGTTCAATTTTTCCAAACTCGTACTTTCCTATATGATATTACAACTACACTACCTCACCTGCTGAGTACTTAATTCTAGACTTGGTTTTAAGTTTTAAATCACAAACGGCATAATATTTTCACTGAAATCCCTGAATCATTTAAGCTGCAATCCTATCCTCACTTACCTGAGACTCACTGGACATTACCTCTAAATAATGAACACATTCAGTTTATTAGTTCACAGTACTATCAAACCCAGAAGTGTTTTAAAAGGGGTGAATTGCATTAAGTCTGGAAACTGTTTTTATGATGTATCTATATTACAAATTATTGTTGTTTAACTAGAATTACAATATAGCTTGAGCTTACACTTCATACAAAACTCTAGCAAATCATACACTATTAACAATATCATATATCTGTCTTTTAAATAGTATAGCAGCTGAAGCTGAGTAAACATTCCTGCAGGGAAGCAGATTATCAATCTTCTGGCTAAATTTAAAATTGCCAACTACAAGCTGTCATTTTGCATGATTTACCTGCCCTACCTCAGATTTCTCCTATTACACTCTCAAGAAACACCAACAGCTTTTTTTTTCCTGATTGGGAAAATGTAATAGGTGTTGGAGTGATATACCCAGTATTATAATTGAACCCAATCTCCCTTCATATTTACATCTTGTTTAAAGCAGAAATAAACTACTTAATTTCTTTTATAGGAATGCCAGCGACGAATGAATTATCTTCTGGATGTTTATTTATTTGAACCAGAAGACTTGACACTGAATGCAACTGTTTTGTTGTGGCCTCAAAATATTAACCCTATCTTTGATGAAAATGATGATGTAAATATAAACTTTTAAAAAATTTACATGCTATATTGTCTGAGAAAAAAAGCAATACAATTTTGTAAATACCTCAGCTTTAAATTCTTAAATTCTTAAATTTTAAAGACTGCTGTTAGATAAATTTACTATTACAGACCAAATAATTCATGAATGATATGTTTGAATTGATTCAGTGTGATTTAATGAAGTTAGATAATGCTATCCATAAATGCACTCCACCTCTTCTTTGTCTTACAGATTATAGAAATGTCTAAACGGAAGGGTGAAAGTGAATTACTAGCCAAACGTGAGAAATTGATAATGGAAGTAGACAAGCAGATTCGTCGTATGCATGAATTCACAGAGTACTGTGATTTGGACCGCATGCAACAGGTCTGTGACATTTGGAATAATTTTTACTTGGAAGCACAAGGAAGATACACAGTGGAAAAATAGTAGCAAAAAAGAATTAACTATATTGTCAGAGGTCAAAAAAATATACTGATGACTCTTGATATTCTCTAATGCTTAGTAAATTACATTCTGTTGCTGGTAGTCCCATTAAACATTGCCACTTCTACTGGCCGTCAGCAGTTTGGCAATTTGGGTCTCACCAGCTCAAGGTTGATTCAGCCTTCTATTCTTCCGAGGTCGGTAAAATGAGGATCCAGATTGTTGGGGGTAACATTATGCTGATGCTGTTAACTGCTTAGAGAGGGCTGTAAAGCATTGTGAAGCGGTATATAAGTCTAAGTGCTATTGCTATTAACATCAATGTATTTCATTATTGGAATGGTAACATTAAGATGTTAGCCTCAAAGTAGAAAGTCCTGGGGCAGCCATAATTAATGAGATAAAAGTTTAATATTCTTTGGATTTATATGCAAGGTAGTAGCATGTTTTGTATTTTGATAATGCTACAAGGTGATTTAATGGGTTTATGACATTTTTTCACCTAAGTTTCATGCAGGAGTTGCAACAGAAATGAACGTTACATGTTTATTTAGAAGAAATTTATTGACAAAAAAAATTAAATGTCAGGAATATCTCTTCAAAAGAAATGTATATCTCTTGGAAAGAAGTATTGAGGTGGTAATAAATGCAAACCAAAATTATTTCTTACTTTGTTCTGGTTTTTATACAAGAATCTGAATATGGGTGAAGAAATCTGTTTATTTCAGCTTGTTTAATTTCTTTAAAAACAACATTTATATATAAGTACTTGTATTCCATAATCTTAAATGTGATCAATTTATTTTTTGAAATTTGAAATTTCTAATGATAGATAAATCTATTTTCAGTATGTGACTGATATGAGAACACTACAAAAACGCATACAAGATGCTGATGAAGCAGTTACTTTTATTAATAAAGAAGAGAAGCTTTTAAATTGGGAGCTGACTGAATATCCAGAGTTGGAGACCTTAAAACTTAACATTGAGCCATATCAGAAACTTTTTGTTTTTATATTGAAATGGCAGCGGACTGAGAAACGGTAAGTTATACAAATGTTTTAAGGGAGTAGCAACTAGTATCTAGTTTTTTAAAAATCTAAATTCCATAGCAGTTGTATGTTTTTTGCTATTAAAAAAGTATGTGATTTTCATTCTTTTATAATTTATATGTTTGACTTAAATTATAATTTATATGTTTGATTTAAATTATACTGTAAGTATAATTAAGGTGAATTTAATTAACTTATAGTCATTGCAAGTGATGACAATGTTTCTGAATTTTTACAGTACTGCATTTACATTGCCTCTAGTTTACAAAATTGATACTTATTTAGTGTAAAAACCAGTGATTAGAAGGTGGGCATCCAGAAATTATCAACCATTGTTCATTACATGAGAAATAGCTATGTCTTTCCCATTATATTAAATCTGTGGATGAAAATGGTCTTCTTCATCAATAACATCTAATTGCTTTCTTCTCAGACCTAGACAACAGTATAAAATGACCAGAACATTTATTCTGGTCTTCAATGTAGTCTCTTGTAGGTAACATTATCAGAAAATTGAGGAGAAATACTGTATATTAAATACAATTTTTAAAATTCAATTAACCTCCTGTAACATTACAGTAATTTTACCAGCTGTGCAGAAAGAGTTAATAGTGTTTTACAATATATTTTGAAGGCAAAGCCTACCAATTTATTCTCACTGTACAGTCAATTCCTACTACTCAAGAAAGATGTACAGAATCAACTATGCAAAAGAATAATAGAACTGCCTTCCAATATTCAAGTCTCCATCAATTTCATCCATACTGTTTCTCATTATTTAAGGAGGACATTGAGATGGGCTTTACTCTAGTCTTTGGACTTCAGTGACTTCATAAATTGCAGATTTTTCATAGACGTGAAACATAGGCATTTTCATTTTTTGCAATTATGCTAATATTTTTACCTTCCAAAGATTGAGGAAAACAAAGGAGGATCAGTTGTCCTTGTTTCGATATACAGTAATTATGGGAAAGATTTAGTTGAGGAAATGGAAGTAATACAAAATTGGGGTCTTGGTTTTAAAAGAAACTAAAACAATATAGTCAAATGTGTATATTTATTAAAATTCTAAATGGATTTTATTTAAATGAATTTTAATCAATTCAGAGCACTGATAAGATCCAGTGGCAAGAGAAACTAATTGCAAATATTGCTCAAGATGAAGACACTAAAGGTATATTTATGAACAATTGCAGTGAGATGACTCACATCCCGGTCAGCACTTCTTCACTCTCCTACCATTGGGTAGGAGATATAGAAGCATAGCCAGCCACACCAACAGACTGAAGAACAGTTTCTACCCGTGGGTTGTCAGACTTCTGAACGGAAAATAACTTCATGTCAACATAGTATGATAGACTTGCGGGGCCGGCATGTTGTGCAACAAGGTCACATAATGTAATAAGATTGGGACTGGGTTAGGGAATTCTGTCCTCACTGTGAGTGGGGGGATGCACGAAGGGAGGCTCAGCCAATCTCATTGTACACATGTTGTACTCTGACAATAAAGGTAATAATAAGTGAGAAAAATGAAAAAGAAGCCAACAGGAAAAGCCAATGTGACTACACAAACAGCAAAGTGATATTCTAAAAAGGGTTTCTTTAAATATGTTCAAAAAGAAAGAAAAGCAGTCAGAAATAACTTACTCAATGAAGACTGGAAAATACTATCAGCAAAGAAAAGACAGAGCTATTCAATACCTATTTTGGTTCAGTCTTTTCCAGCAAAGAAGTATGTGTTCTATCAGGATACTGTGAAGAGCAAGATGAAGGGATCAGAGTGAAGACTGAGACTGATAACAACATATCATAGAATACTTCTTCATTCTGAATAATAAATTTCCATGATCAGATTAATTGCACATTAGTGAATTGAAGGAACTAACTTGTGATTTGGCTCTTATATAGCATCTTTGCGAGTTCCTGGAGAACTAAGGAAGTGTTACGAACTAAGCAAACGCGTTAGTTTAAAATCCCAAATAGTTTTGCTTCCACGGCAGGCTCGTAATCCTGCACTTCTGATTGGCCTGCGAACAGCGGATCGTGATTGGTTGTTTCTGGCTGATCTGATTGGCTGCCAGAGGGTCGCTGCTGATTGGACGCTACCAGCGCGGCAAACTCAAATCATTGGTTGTTGTGACAGCAGCCAGCTCTATAAAAGGAGCTGCTGCTGCCCAAGTCTTTCGCTCTGTTCTGAAGTCACTAATAAAGAGTTGGAGTCACTATTCGATGCCTCGTCTCCGTTCTTTGCGCCCACGCTCCAGACTTAACACTAGCGACGAAGGTGGGATACGGAGACGATAGAGCTGACTAAACACTCACCGAACGCTAACAGAGCACGTGGCTGAGAGCGCACCAAGAAGCGGCAGAATGACCAGCAGCGCTATACCACCCGCTCCATTTGACCCGGCTAACGAAGACTGGGACTCGTATATGGACAGGTTCCAGATGTTCCTGGAAACCAACAATCTGAAAGATGCTACGCCTGGCAAGAAACGAGCTGTGTTCCTGACCCATTGCGGGCCCGCCGTTTTTAAGATGGCGAAAGCACTTGCGAAACCAGCAGAAGTCAAGACAATGGACTGGGACAACCTCGCCCCAATCCTCCGGGCCCATTATGCACCGGCGGTGCCAACACTCATCAGGAGACACGAGTTTTACCAGAGGGACCAATAGGAAGGCGAAAGTGTTGGAGACTTCATCGCTGACCTCAGGAACCTGGGGGGATTCTGTGGCTTCGCAAATCTCGAGGAAGCCATAAGAGATCGAATTGTTCTGGGCCTAAAAGACCCCACGACCCAGAGCAAGATCATGGTGAAGGGAGACATCACCCTTGCAGATGTCATTGCCGATGCTACTGCAGCAGAAGCAACCAGGAAGTCAGCCGCTCGAATGCACCAAGCGAATGCACCGCACCGCCAACTCGCCAGTGACACTACGCCTTTCTCCGAGAGGCACACAACAACCACCCACCATGAAGACCTCGAATCCTCATCAGAAAGCGAGGAAGAGGAGGTCAACAGACTCAGGTCAGAACGCGATCAGCGAGACCAGCGAAATCGCAAGCCTCCGTGTCAATGTGCTGGATGCGGGGGAAATCACCCGCGATCTAACTGCAAATTCCTAGACGCACTCTGCCGTTCCTGTGGAAAGAGGGGCCACATCGAAAGGGTCTGCAGAAGCAAGCGAGGATCCAGCCCAACCAGAAGAGAAAATAAATTCCGGCAGACAGCAGGCACCCCACCAGTAAATCGGGACTGCCCAAGCAATCAATGGAACCACTACTACAGAAATCGAGCACCTGCCACTTCGTCCAGACTAGAAGAGGCACATCAGACCATCACCATCGGCCATGCTTCATCCCTTGATGCAAGGAAAATCCGAGTGAAGGTCGCCATTGAGAATCAACCATGTGTCATGGAGGTCGACTCCGGGTCGTCCCTATCCATGGTCTCCTGGAAAACCCTCAAACAGCTGATCCCTGACATCCGTCGCCAGGACCTCAGCACTCAAAAAATCATATTGAAAGACTACCAAGGAAACAGAATTCCAGTTGCCGGTTCCAGCCACGTCTGAGTATCCTTCAAAGACCACACCGCAACCCTACCTCTGACCGTCGTCGATCGAGATCGGCCCAGCCTGCTAGGTTTGCAGTGGTTCGCGCCATTAGGAATTGAACTAGCTGGCATCAACCAGACCGGAAGTGATGACTGGGAAGCGGCCCTTGTCCAAGAATTCCAGGACGTGTTCACCAAGAAGCTAGGCAAGTACAAGGGATCCCCCATATCATTTAACCTCAGCCCCGATGTTGCGCCCATTCGCCTTAAGCCTCGTCGAGTGCCCTTTGCACTCAAGCCAAAGATTGATGAACAATTGGACAAATTAATAGGCCAGGGCGTGTTGGAACCGATTGACCACGCCCGATGGGAGACCCCAATCGTAACCCCCATAAAACCTGACGGAACTTTGAGAATTTGTGGGGATTACCGGGCCACCCTAAATCACATGCTCCAGCAGAACGCTTACCCTGTACCTGTGGTCCAACACTTTCTTCATTCCCTGGGAGGTGGAAAAATATTCGCAAAATTGGACCTAACTCAGGCGTACCAGCAGTTGCCCGTAGATGCACAGACTGCGGAGGCCCAAACTATAGTCACGCACAGAGGTGCCTTCAAGTGTAATAGACTTCAATTCGGAGTGAGTGTAGCACCTGGCATTTTCCAGAGTTTGATGGAAAGATTGCTACAAGGCGTAAAAGGGGTCGTGCCCTACTTCGATGATGTCTTGATAGCTTCCCCCACTAGAGACCTATTAGAAAAACGACTCAGAATGGTTCTCCAGAAATTCAAAGACGCTGGCCTGAAGGTCAAGAAGGACAAGTGCCAACTATGTACAGAGAGGGTTGAATTCCTGGGGTACCTTCTTGACAAACAGGGAATTCACCCTACTGAGAAAAAACTGACTGCAATAAAAAACGCCCCAAGACCTAGAAATAAAACAGACCTCCAAGCCTTCCTGGGACTCATTAATTTTTATAACATCTTCTTGCCTCAGAAGGCGACTGTTGCTGAACCCCTGCATAGGCTCCTCGACAAGAAGGCGTCCTGGGTCTGGGGACATCGGGAAGAGCGAGCTTTTCAGCAAGTAAAAGACCTTTTAACTTCAGATGCTGTATTGATACAATATAACGAGACTTTACCATTAACTGTCACCTGCGATGCCTCACCATTTGGGGTAGGAGCCATCCTGAGCCACGTCCTGCCAAACGGTACTGAGGCACCTATTGCGTTTTTTTCAAGAACTTTATCTAAAACTGAGAGAAATTATAGCCAACTTGATAAAGAGGCTCTCGCTATTGTGGCTGCGATCAAACGATTCCATGAGTATGTATATGGAAGACCCTTTTCCATAATTACCGATCACAAACCATTACTTGGCATTTTAGCGGGAGACAAACCAACGCCCCACATCTTATTGCCAAGAATGACACGTTGGTCAGAGTTTTTAGCCGCATATGATTACCAACTGCTACACCGCCCGGGGAAAGCCATTCCCCACGCTGACGCCTTGAGTCGCTCGCCGCTACCCGAAGTCATAGACGACCCAGCTCCAACCCTAGCCACGCTACAAATCGAAACCCTTCCTTCACCACCACTGACTGCACAAGACATCACCTCGGAAACAAGGAAGGATCCTTGTTTGGCACGAGTCCTCAGCTGGGTGGAAAGAGGTTGGCCTGACAACGAACCCAACAACACCTTCAAACCATTCAAAAACTGACAGACAGAGCTTTTCTCACAAAGAGGATGCGTCTTGTGGGGAGACAGAGTCGTCATTCCGGAGCGGCTACAGCATAAAGTTCTGAAACTATTGCACGACGGACATCCTGGCATCGTGCGAATGAAGGCACTAGCGAGGAGCTACGCTTGGTGGCCAGGTATAGATAAGCAAATAGAAACCTGGGTGGCCACTTGCACCAAGTGTCAGGAAACTCATCATGCAATTATTTCTCCACCAAAAGCCCCGTCAACTGAATGGGACATACCCCGGGGTCCCTGGTCCCGTATCCACATCAATTTTGCGGGACCTACCAAGGGGCATACATTTCTTATAACTGTGGATGCCTATTCCAATTGGCTAGAGGTCCACAAAATGAAGAGCACCACCACAGAAGCAGTCGTTAAAAAACTAAATAGACTATTCGCTACGCACGGGTTGCCAGATGTCCTGGTTTCAGATAATGGACCCCAATTCACTGCTCTTGCATTTGAACAGTACCTAGCAGACCGGGGGATACGCCACGCCTTAACATCGCCAGCTCACCCTGCGGCCAATGACAGGGCTGAGCGAATGGTCCAATTCATAAAGAAAACTTTACAAAAGATGGACCAAGGGGACATCGATGACAAGGTGACCAGGATGCTTCTCCTCCAACATATCACCCCAAACAGCACCACAAACAAAACCCCAGCCGAACTCCTGATGGGCCGGAAACTTCACTCACATCTTGACCGCCTACACCCTACTTACACGCCGGAAAAGCCCCTGGGGTCCAGCAGCAGGTATCGCACGTTCAAGGTAGGCGACCCGGTTTTTGCAAAAAACTTCTCTGGTGACCCATTGTGGGTCCCTGCTACCATAACTCAAGTTACGGGGCCCCATTCCTACCGTTTACAAATTGCTGATGGGAAAATGTGGAAGTGCCACATCGACCAACTTCGCTCCAGACTGGCACCTACTCCCATCACAAGCCCTGAACCTCAAACCTGGGGGGGAAGGGAGATCGAGGGGGCCGGAAAAGAGCTAGCATACGACCCAGTACCCGAAACCCAGAAATCAGCACAACCAACCCTGGGATATTCACCTTCTGAAGGAGAGCTGGACCAGATGATCGCCTCGCCACAAAGCAGCACTGCGACAGCAGCAAATCCAAGGAATTCGGATGACAGCCTTGATGGAAGCAGAGATGACAACACTGAGTCGCCCAGCGAAGAGGTTGGACCAGCCTTGCCGCTGAGCTCAGTGAACAGCCCATCGGAACCAGAGTCAGGGCAAGGACTGGTGGAGCAACGCAGATCAGGTAGACAGGTAAAACGACCTGCTTACTTGCGAGAATACATCACCCCACCCCTCAGACGGAACCTAGGGGGGAGGGGTGTTACGAACTAAGCAAACGCGTTAGTTTAAAATCCCAAATAGTTTTGCTTCCACGGCAGGCTCGTAATCCTGCACTTCTGATTGGCCCGCAAACAGCGGATCGTGATTGGTCGTTTCTGGCTGATCTGATTGGCTGCCAGCGGGTCACCACTGATTGGACGCTACCAGCGCGGCAAACTCAAATCATTGGTTGTTGTGACAGCAGCCAGCTCTATAAAAGGAGCTGCTGCTGCCCAAGTCTTTCGCTCTGTTTTGAAGTCACTAATAAAGAGTTGGAGTCACTATTCGATGCCTCGTCTCCGTTCTTTGCGCCCACGCTCCAGACTTAACAGGAAGTATCAGATGATTGGAAACAAACAGATATCTTCAAAAAGATGAAAGAGGATGATTGATCCAATTTTATAGAAGTCAGTCTGCTACCTGACCTGATTCTTAAACAGATTAAAAAAGAAATGTGTCTGTAATCATCATGAAAACAATATGTTCATTACCAGAGATCATTATGGATGAGTCAAGAACAAGTCTTGCCAGACAATCATAACTGATAGCTTGATTGGATAACTTTCTTAACAAATAATGGGAATGCTGTAGACATCAACATGCTCTTGATTTCAAGAAAGCATTTGGCAAAGTCATTCATAACATGCTGATTATCAAGCTAGTTAAATGTGATTTGGACGGCATGCTAATTAAATGGCTACAAGGCTGGTTTCACAACTGTATACAGAGAATTGTCATAAATGGTTCTTCCCCATAATGAAGAGAAGTACTGATCTTGCGCTTCCATAAAATCTGAGGCTAACTATTACTGTTAGAATAACTTAGAAAACAGAAATAATTGCATGATGATCTTGAAAGGTTAAAGAAATAGGCTACAGTAATATGCACAAAAGCTAAATGTTAATAAATGAAATTTTTTAAAAAAATTGCAATAGAACTTGCTATTATACCTATACCTGGTAACTGTGCTTGTAAGAAAGTTTTTGGATTACTAAGTGATTAGAAATGAATATGAGTCACCACTATGATGCAAGTTCCACTATGATGCAGTATTGGGTTACATTAACAGAAGGATATTTTCTACACCATAGAAAGTAAAATTTGATTTACTTTGCTTCAGTCATACCTCACTCTGAAGAGTATGCATAAGCGTGCATTAGTGCACCATCGTACCTCCTGTCCCTGTCCTATTGTCCTATTGTCACCATTTAATCATACCTACTTTCTGTATTCTTGCTCATGTTTATGCTTATACCTATTATTTTATAAGTGATTGACAAATCAAATAAACAAATTAAATAAATTCTGAGTTATTGTTAAGTAAACAATAAAAATAGGATGGACACCTGAAGGTTTGCTATGAAGAATCTGCTTAGCATCTGACAGATAAATTACACTTGGATCTGTTCACATTGGGCTCTGGCTCAGCAACTCCTATGGAGTCTATGAGATGTTTGAGCCTGTGAGGAATTTAAAGCCTGGCTCTGTCAATAGGATGAGATCTTCTATCTATCCCTGATAGTGTGTTTTGTTTTTATGACAGAGATGGAGTTTGATTTATCCTTCAGTATGTTGTACATATTACATTCATCTTGGTTATTGCTTTTATTTTGCTGTTTTTAAAACCATAATATGTAAGTTTCCTGGAATTACTCTGGTGATAAGTATGGCCTATAAGTAAAGAAATAAATCCCTATCTGAAATACAGTATATTTTCATTCTTTTCTTTTTTTAGATGGATGGATGGTGCATTTCTAGATCTCAATGGAGAAAAGATGGAAGGTGAAGTAGATGAATTTTTTCGAGAAATTTATAAGACAGTAAGATTTTTTCAACAACAGCAAAAGAAAGCTGAAATAGAAAGAAAAAAGTCATTGCGAAGAGCAGTAGTTGAAGAGAGAGTAGAGGAAGAAAAGAAGGACACTCCAACTATTTCAATGTGTAATGCTGTAATGCAGCAGGTTAAAGATTTTAAGGTAAGTGTTTAATTATAAAGCAAAGTTTTGAAAAGTACATGCTGAAATACACTCAGAAATACTTCTCAATGGTGATATTTGCGTGACATGCTGAATTGCATCATGGACAAAACTAAATGTGCTATACAAACTGTTACATCCAGTGAATGAGGAAGTTATAGAAGAACAGATTTAATTCAAGTAAGGTTTAGATTTCTAATGCTCTTCCCTGGTCAGCTGAGCCATAATAATGTTAACTCAGTGAAAAGTAGAGCAACAGTCTAGCCGAAACAGTCAGTCTCAGGAAGAACTGAGTCTATGAAGTAGTTAGAAATGCACAGTGTCTATTATAGAACATGTTGCTGGAGACCCTGGCAATCACTGACCACCCATTTTTATACTGATCAGTTACATAGATCAATCAAGCCTAATACTCGAAAACTGAGGGTTTCTTTTATCCTTTATCTTGGGTTAATCCACTAAATAAATGGAAGGTAACTATTAAAATGAGATTCTAACCCCCCCCCTCCCCAAAAGAAAATAAATTGAAAGTTTATTAAATTTATAGCAGACTGGTATAAAAATGATAAAAATGTGGTATAAAATGGTCCATAAATTTAGAATAAATATAGTGTTGAATTGCAATTGTTTAAAATCATTAAATTGTGGAAATAGTAAATTAGGAACCAAAGTAGGCATAACTGACAAGGGGAAATGTACTAATTCAAATTATAAGAAAGTATATTAAATTCCAAAATTTCCAATGTAGAGTAAGCATATATAAACATTTTAAATATTTAATCTTAACATTACTCACATGAAGATTCTAGATTCTTAGATAGTTTTCAGGTTCAATTGATAGTAGCAAAAGTACAAAGAAAGTTAATCAAGGAATAGATTTCTGAATAAGACACATTTTCATGTCATTTCTGAATGGCCTCTTTCTGCATCTTGGGAGAAAATTTAAAAGCATAGAGTTATACCATAGTACCCATTAAAAAGCCCTTGTTCTGTCTGGGGCATGAGATTCTATGATTTGACTGACCACTGTGCTTTAGATATCACCTCAAATTTCATTGGTCACTAGTTTGCATTCTTATTGGTTACTGGTTATGCCCTGGCCTAGAAGTTAAACCAGGGGTGTCAAACTGGATTTCTTCGAGGGCTGTATCAGCATTGTAGTTTTCCCCTGCAGGCCAGCTGGCAGTGAGGAGATGGAACGGACACCTCCTGCAGCACCCTGCTGGCAAAAATGGATTGTCCTGCTAGTAACTACATTATAATTTAATCATTCCAAAGGTGTTATTGGCACCAGTCAAGAAGGCATTTGTGATTTCCAGACTTAGGGCCAATGTCTTCTGAAAATGATAAGCAATTTGCATTAGAAAAGTGTGTGTGTGTGTGTGTGTGAGAGAGAGAGAATTATGTACAAGTATGCATGCAGAAATAAATATATGCTTTCAGCTACCCTACCAAAAATCCTAAATAAATTCCAAATTTTGTGTAATATTTTTTTTCTCTCTCAATTAGGAAAATATCCCCTTGGTGACTATCCTTTGTAATCCAGGCATAAAAGCTCGTCATTGGAATCAGATGTCAGAAATTGTTGGATATGATTTAACTCCAGATTCTGGAAGTACCTTAAGAAAAGTGTTAAAGCAGAACCTAACTCCTTACTTAGAGCAATTTGAAGTTATAAGTATGGGAGCAAGTAAGGTAAGATAAGATACCAACTATTAAACCCAAATTCTCAAGAACCAAAGGAATTAAATAATAAAACAATTTATTTCCTCTATGGTATAGGAATTTTCACTAGAAAAAGCAATGCATAATATGATGGAGACCTGGGATTCAATTTCCTTCCAAACTGGCTTATATCGTGAGACTGGAGTTAGCATTCTGTCTGCTGTTGATGAAATCCAGACAATTCTAGATGATCAGATTGTAAAAACACAAACAATGAGGGGATCACCTTTCATCAAACCATTTGAAAAACAAATGAAGGTATTTGCTTTTTCTGTTCTCTTTTAATTCTGGATGTATGTATATCTTTAAACTATTGACCCTGATTCTTTGATAAATTTGCTCTGGACTGTAATCTTATTTTTAATCAAAGGTAATCAAAAAATAATTTATAGAACAGTTATAGAGTATTCATTTTTTTAAAAAAGTATAAATACATAATTCATATATTAAAAGGTACAAATTTTTAAATCTTAAATAGACATTACAATTTTTCTTGAATATTAGGTCAACAGAAAGTTTTGAAGGGGTGCTTTAAAAATCTGTATAAAGAGGCTATATTCCTTTACTTCTTGTCACTTTAAGCCCTCATTAACCCATCTTATTCTGAGTAGCCAAAATAAGAGTCTGCAGAGACATAGTACACTCACAAAAGTAGTTCCTGGAGCTCCTGCAGAGGAAGATGAAATGACAAACCAGATTTCATTGCCTCTGTGGTTGAAAACGCTATATCAAGGTGAAACAATTTATATCAAAGTGAAACCAATAACAACTCCCGAAACAAAGCAAAAAAACAGATTACCCATAACAATAAAGAAACTTCAATCCAAAAAGAGATCACTCTGGCGGAAAAACAAATCTGGTCATGTTGCCAACTTCAAAAGCCGATTCAAAAATTTATGCCACCAGATAAAGACTGAATGCGCCAATCATCACATTAAACAAGAGGAAAACCTTCTACGCACCAATTCCACCCACACTTTTTACAATTTTGTAAACAAAGTACAAAGATGTACTTTCATGGACCACTGAAAGGAGGAAATGGCTCACATGCTTTACCAAGAGGATGATAGGCAACAGGCTTTTAGGGGGCTGCCAGAAAGAAAGGGGGGCAATATATTTTCCAAAGCACCAGAAGGATGGAAACTGAACAGAGAGAGAAGCAGCCTAAAAGTAAGGAGAAACTTCCTGACAGCGAGAACAATTAACCAGTAGAATTGCTTGCCACCAGAAGTCAATCTACATAGACTTCTGTAAAGCCTTTGATTCAGTGATACACGACAAACTACTCCTAAAACTAAAACTAAATCTTATGGTATATCTGGACACCTGCATAACTGGATAGAAGCATTCCTGTCAAACAGACAACAAATGGTCAAAATTGGGACTGTCCTATCAAATTCTGTACCTGTCAATAGTGGTGTCTCCCAAGTCAGTGTTCTAGGACCAACTCTCTTCATACTCTACATAAATGACCTCTGTGATCACATTAAGAGCAACTGCGTTCTCTTCGCTGATGATGTAAAGCTGTTCAATACCACAGACAATACTGCTACCCTTCAAAAAGATCTTGACTATGTATCAGAAAGGTCAGACATATGGCAACTTCAAATCTCAACAAATAAATGCTCTGTCTTACATATTGGCAAAAAAAATCAGAAAATAAAATACAAGCTGAATAGTCAAGACCTTGTTGATGATCCAAGCTCTGTAAAGGACCTTGGAATACTCATCTCTAATGATCTAAGTGCTAGAGCCCACTGTAACTACATAGCCAAAAAGGCATTAAGAGTTGTTAACCTAATCCTACATAGTTTTTTCTCTGGTAATATCACACCATTAACTAGAGCATACAAACATTTGCTAGACCAATACTGGAATACAGCTCATCAGTCTGGAACCCACATTACATATCTGATATTAGCACAGTTGAGAAAGTCCAGAAATATTTCACAAGAAGAGTTCTCCACTCCTCTACTCGTTGTAGAATATCTTATGCCACCTGACTTGAAATTCTAGACCTAGAAAACCTTGAATTATGCTGTCTTCGGTCTGATCTAAGTATGGTATATAAAATCATACATTGCAATGACTTACCTGTCAATGAATACTTCAGCTTCAACCATAACAACACAAGAGCACACAATAGATACAAACTCAAGGTTAACCGCACCAAACTTGATTGCAGGAAATACGACTTCAGCAACAGAGTGGTCAATGTCTGGAATACTCTACCTGACTCTGTGGTTTCTTCCCAAACCCCAAAAGCTTGAACCCCAGACTGTCTACTATTGACCTCACCCCTTTCCTAAGAGGTCTGTAGGGGGCGTGCATAAGGGCACCAACGTGCCTACTGTCCCTGTCCTATTGTTTCTTTTATTTTTCTTATATGTACCCATTTCATGCATTCATAACTATGTATATACTTATACCTATTATCTTGTCAGCGATTGACAAATTAAATAAATAAGTAAATAAATAAATAGATAAAGAAACATTGTTTCCTCATAATTCTGTTTAGGATTTGATTAATGGATTGATTGAGGTCCTGCCCTCCCACTTGATTGAATAAGAATGGGAGATGACACTCCAAATAATACAAAAGTAAAGTAGAACAATGAGAACAGAATTAAGATGTTCAAGTAATTATTAAAACAATCATAATAATTTCAAAAAATCTGCGTTCAAGAATTACATTTTAATCCTTTTCTGCACCACACTCACTTGGATACATTATGCCCCATCTTTCAGTTACTTGCGGATAAAACCTCTCTGTGGTAATGCCTGCATTCTAGGAATACTGTTTTTAAAATATATGATTCACCTACTACTGTATCTTTTACTTAGATTTCCCCCAAAGACTATCTCTTTACACAGATTTGCCTGCTCTCAATTATAGATGAGAGATAAGGAATTTCTAAAGTAGCCCAAAGGATAAATTAATGGAAGAGGGATTTCCATTTAATTTGTCCCATTATTCTGGTTTTGACTTTGACTTTCACATTATATATAGATATAGATACTCTGTGCTAAAATCTTAATGCATTTTTAGGAATGGGAAGAACGCTTAATTAGAATTCAAGAGACTATTGATGAGTGGCTAAAAGTGCAAGCTCAGTGGCTTTACTTGGAACCAATTTTTTCTTCAGAAGACATTATGCAACAAATGCCAGAGGAAGGGCGCCAATTCCAGACTGTGGATAGGTATTGGAGAGATATTATGAAATACTGTGTCAAGGATCCCAAGGTAAAGTAGTAATGATGAGTCTGCTCTGATTAGCTGAAATAAGTAGACCATATATTTGTAAGCTGTGCACAAAACCTCTAAGTGGCTTTTCTTTTGTGAAGTAGCCTAGTATTGGAGTTGCAAAAAAGCTATTACTGAAAATCTATCATACTATGTGAAACAGCAGAATGACAGAAAATTGTTTTTTCAAAAATTCTGAATATACTGCAAAAGCATACTGCCAGATATATGAGAGGTGGCTACTTAATAATTGAGAAATCTGCATAAAGAAAAAAAAAATCTACTCCCAAATCTAAAAGTTAGATTTCACATGAAATAAAAATTAGCGTGCAGTTGATGAAAAATGACTTTGCATAATGGAATGTTCAATTATTTTTACCATTATTTCAAAATTACAGTTTATCCTCAACTTACAACCAGTTCATTTAGTGACTGTTTATTGGGAAAAAAGTGACTTATGGCCATTTTCTTACTTTCTTACTGCTGCAGTATCTCCATAGTCATGTCATTTACATTCAGATGCTTGACAACTGACTCATATTTATGACAGTTGCATTGTCCCGGGGTCATGTGACCACTTTTTGTGACCTTCTGATAAGCAAAATCAATGGGGAAGCCAGATTCACTTAACAACCGTGTTATTAATTTAAGAACTGCAGTGATTCACTTAACGACTGTGGCAAGGAAAGTCATAAAATGGGACAAAACTCACTTAACAAATTTCTCACTTAGCAACATAAATTCTGGGCTCAGTTGTGATCGTAAGCTGAGGGCTACCTTTATTAAAGGACGCTTAATGAAATAAACTTTATAATCTGTGATCATGATTCACTCACCAACATTTCAAAAATAGAAATATTTTAGTGTGAAATAATACAATAAAATTGGCACTCTTAATCAATTCCTAAGTTTGATAATAGGCTGGGATGAAGGTGAACAAATCAAAACTGTCATTAGGTAATACTGCTATTATGGTAGTCGGAAACCAAGTTCTGAATTTGCGGCTCATTCCATTCAAAATGGGGTCATACTCTGAAGTAAGGAGTGTCCAACTAACTGCTTAATTGTCACAGCTGACAGGGTGTACAGCTGATACATTACATGTCATTGTGCAAATCTATTCCTTGATTCCTTGACTACTACAAGGCAATGTCCAGAAATGTCAGTTTTAGCAAAATATGGCAATTAGGTCCTGTTTTTGGAGAGGTGGGTTGTAAATATCAATATAAATAATTATATTATATTAAATCTATATTTATATTATAGATTTCCACTAACAGTCCATTTTTTCATTAATTTTTAATTAATCCATGTTTAATCGTTAATATTTGTAAGATACCTAGCAAAAATTTTGAACCTAGAATCATTTATAAATATTGCATGAATAACATTTGTGATAAATGTATGGAACATTACTTACATCTTCAACTGTGTAGTGCTTTTAGCCATAAGAAATTAATGAAAAAATGCTTAGAAACATAAACAGGCTGAGGCTCCCAGTTCTATGAAGAACATGTTAGTGTATGGATTTTTTGCCATTTTTTTTTAACCATACGCAATTAGATATAGTTTTTTTTCCAAGTCCTTATTACAAATGTACTTAGCAGTGTAATTGTTGGATGTGTAATTCTAATCTAGGGTTTAATTTTGTTTTCTCTTCTTTTTTAGGTTCTTGCTGCCACTTCATTGACAGGGTTGTTGGAAAAACTTCAGAACTGTAATGATCTTCTTGACAAAATCATGAAAGGATTGAATGCCTATCTTGAGAAGAAGCGTCTCTTCTTTCCCCGGTATATTTCTATTGTTCATTAATAAAGCTGGAATAGATATCTTTAAATTCATATTTTTATGCAAACATACTCAACTGATGCCTTATTAATTTATTTTAGCTTTTTTTTCTTGTCTAATGATGAGATGTTGGAGATACTGTCAGAGACTAAAGACCCTCTCCGTGTCCAGCCTCACTTGAAAAAGTGTTTCGAGGGCATTGCGAAACTTGAATTTCGGCCCAATCTGGATATTAAGTCAATGTATAGCACTGAAGGTGAACGTGTGGAATTTATTTCGACTATTTCAACTTCTGAAGCTCGGGGAGCTGTTGAAAAGTGGCTAATACAAGTTGAAGATATTATGTTGAGGAGTATTCATGATGTTATTACAAGATCAAGACTGGTATATTTTCTGTTAAATATTTAAAATCTTATTTAGCTGATATGCACCATTATTAGATCTAACTAAATTGGTTGTGCTTCTTCAGTCATTTTGAGGGAAACTAAAGCTGAATAGGTGGGAGGGTGAATAGATTTAGATAAGTCAACAGCTTGAAAGTTTTTTTTCTTCAATGTAGATTAAACTCAACTAGCAATGTCATTCATATCTAACTAGATTACAGTTAATCTTAGTTATAGTGAGACTGTAGAACAAATTTCAGTAACTTCACTCAAGACTGCTTATAATTTATAGCTGATGGTTATTAAAATGGAAGTGAATATTCTGATCTTCTCCTATTAGCCATTCCAAAAGCGGGCGGTGTGGGGGTGGGAGAGAGAGAGACTGGTTTAGCCTTGATATTGTAATGGTAATCTATGGTTTTGCATTTTGTGAAATGAGTGGCTGGGTTAATTTAGTATATTATTAATCATGATTACTCCTAAGTAACGCTGATAATTTCCTTAGGCATATCCAGAAAGCCCAAGAAAGGATTGGGTAAGAGAATGGCCTGGGCAGGTAGTTTTATGCGTTTCACAAATGTTCTGGACAAGTGAAGTTCATGAAGCCATAGCTAGTGGCCCAGAGGTACTCTTATGAGTCATAATTTTTCTAATATTATTTTTGTATTATCTTTTTAGCCATGTTATGTTTGTTCTACTATGCTTATGATATTAAGTCTCTGTTGAATTAATGATGCAAGTTATATATGTAAATGAATACAAATATAAAAGTCAAGAGTCCATTAAGTTGAATTTTACTTTTGTTGACTATATGAACACATGCATACAGTTTTGTTTTTGTTTTGCCAGATAAGTTGTAATTGTTTTCTTCCTGGACTTTTTCTCAACTTTTCAATCTAATTTATCCATATCTATAAAAGTTTATGTCTCAAGGCTTTATAAATATTGGAGACTCTTACAGTATTTAATTTTCTAGTTTTTTTATCACAGTACTTTTAGAACAGTAATATCAATCCAATATTTGTTTTCTGGATGTACTAGGGATATACAGATACTCTGATCCAAAATAGAGAAGGTGCTTTAAAGAGGAAATATATCTGCTTGCATATCAACTCTAAAGCACCTTTTCTGACATCTTTTCTGTTTCAGTTTTAAATGCAGATTCCTACAATTTATTCATTAAGTAATAAGATTCCTAAAAAATAATTCCCAATTAATTTTCTTTGGTCCAAAAATTATATGCACAGATGAAGGGAAAGTCAGAAATATACATGACCAGCATTTGATTATTAAAGTTATTATAGCAGAACTTAACGATTGATGAAATTGGGAGTAAATAGCAGAATAACACTGAGAAACTCTTAGCTATTCACAGTAAAGAGTGTATTAAAGTTGAACTTTCCATTTTCATTGTTCAGGGCTTGCAGAATTATTACCAGGCTCTTCAATATCAGTTAAATGATATCGTAGAGCTGGTAAGAGGAAAGTTGTCTAAACAAACAAGGATTACATTGGGTGCTTTGGTCACTATTGATGTGCATGCTAGAGATGTCATCATGGAAATGATTGAAAGTGGTATGTAACATAATTTTTATTCATCATCATAAAATAATATATACTGTTGCCTGATTATTTAAGAAATTATCTTTTAATTTAATTATCTTTATTAAAATAATAATTCTGCCATTTTAGACATGTCTCAATTATTTTTGGATTGTTTTCCTTTCTGTTTTCTTGTTAAAAAATATTAAGCCTAAAACATATTCCTTTTTTATATTCTACTAGGTGTGTCAAAGGAGACAGATTTTCAATGGCTTGCTCAGTTGCGATATTACTGGGAATATGATAATGTACGTGTACGCATCATTAATTGCAATGTAAAATATGCTTATGAATATCTTGGCAATTCTCCTCGACTCGTTATCACTCCTCTCACAGACAGATGTTATCGCACTCTGGTAAGGTTTTAAAAGTTCAGTTTCTAATAACAATTCTAAAAAGCCAGTTACCGTATTTTTCGCTGCATAAGAAAAGTGGGTGGAAATGTCTGTACGTTGGTGCCAGTCCTTTGGTGAATAGCAGCTGGGCCACAGAGGCGAGGTCCTTTTAAAGTTCTGAACCCTGCCTCTTCTGTCTTTGTCATTGGCACCTCTTCTGTCTCTTTTCCGCAGTGAGGAGTCAATAGGCAGAGCTGGCACATGAGCGGACTTTTATCTGTGGTCCTCTCAGGCTCTGCCTGATTTTTTTTCTTCTTCTTTTCCTCCTCTAAACCTAGGTGCATCTTATGGTCAGGGTGCATCTTATAGTGCAAAAAATACGGTAATTACATTTGCATTTTAAAGTTACCTTGAACAAATATTATTCTCAGAATTTCTATTGCTAAAGAGTGAGATTCTAATATGGTACACTTGTTCTTATATTTATTAATTTAATAGCAGTATTGAGTGCTCCTTTGCTGGTAATTTTCTTCTGTAGTTGGATGGATTTTTTAATTTAAATTCTTACACTGAACAGAGAGTTTGAATCAAAGGCCTAATGTTCTTTTTCAGCCCTATTGATTCTAAGAAATGAAATTTATGTATAAGCAGCGTTCTCCAGATTTAGAACAATTCCTCAAGTTTATCTTATTCTATTGAAATTCAGTACCTTATTCTGATAACGTTGTGAAAAATGGAAAATATAAATGAGTTTGTTTTGAATAGGAATCTGTTATTGGAATAGCAAAAAAGCTGTCGTATTGTATTATTGATTCAAAGGAAATGACATCTGCTCTGTGTTAGCTATGTGATTACATTTAATTTAATTTATTTTCAAGTGTGAGGGTTTATATTTGGAAATATTATCATTAATGTCTTCCTTTTAGATTGGAGCATTTTATTTAAATCTTGGTGGTGCTCCAGAAGGTCCAGCTGGGACAGGTAAAACAGAGACTACCAAAGATTTGGCTAAAGCTGTTGCGGTGCAATGTGTTGTCTTCAACTGCTCTGATGGCCTTGATTATCTAGCCATGGGGAAGGTAAATTGAAATTGCATTTTTAAAAGTGTGGTTTTAATTTTTAAAATATTCCTATGTTTCATAAAAACAAGGAATGCTTGTAAGCAATCCAACTTCATAGTTTGTTAGTAATTTTTCAGTCTCATAGGGCTAAATGGAAAGTTTAGTAAATGCTATTTGTTTTTTAAATGGTGTAACAATAAAATATTAGGTATAACAATTTATGCAGCTTACAATCCAAAAATAAAACAAAGTATACAGCAATAAAAACAAAAGAAACAATAAAACCAAAACCAGAAAAACCTGGCACTACAACCACACTTTCCTGATGCAATCTGCAATATTCTCATGTCACTTTAACCTCACACTATCCCAATGCTTGGGCAAATAACCAGGCTTTAATTATTATTTTATGATCCCCATTCATTTACAAAATTAGACATCCTTTTTACACAACCAATAGATATGGTGGTGTCTAAAACATATGGTCCCAAATAAGTAACCAATGTCAGGCCTGGTCTTCCTCCTTACACTTCATTTTCTTATAGTGATTTGGAAAGTAGCTGCACAGTTATATGATCCGTGTGACTTCTAGTCTTAGAATAACCCATAGAGACTGGATAATTTACTGTACTTCTTAAAGAGAGGATGCTTGTAAACAGGTTATGTCACAGTAGTGGAACTCTGACATTGTTTTATTTAAAGAAGAAATAGCCACAAACATTTTTTTTTGGTAAACAAGCTCCTGAACTAGTAACAAAGTAGCATAAATTATGACTGGCCTTGATAGGATGGGCTATTCTAGGAGCCTGGATCCAGACCAAAAGGCAAGTTTAATAGTTTTTCACAGTTCTAATATTCATATACACTACTCAATCATTAAATATAAAAAAGTGTATCCTGAACTGATTTAATCAGTTTCACAACTGTTACAATATCATAAAGCTTGGTTAGGATAAATAAGTGCAATTAAGGTTTGAAAAACAAATAAAGGAAGACAATATATTGTACTCACGTAGTGTGCTATCCCATGGTTAACAGTAACATTATTTACTCACTAAGTCAATAATATAATATAGTCAAATTGTCTGGTTGTGCACAATATAATACACATTCTAGGTTAGTGAGTTGTGGAAATGCTTCCCATGAGCATCTGTAGCAATGGCCCTTTCAAATGATGAAATATGCATGTTGACATTGCTGTTTTGTCTTTAGTTTTTTAAGGGTTTAGCTTCTTCAGGTGCTTGGGCCTGCTTTGATGAATTCAATCGCATTGAACTGGAGGTACTGTCTGTGGTAGCCCAGCAGATTCTTTGCATCCAGAGAGCTATACAACAGAAGCTGGAGATATTTAATTTTGAAGGAACTGAACTGAGGCTTAATCCCAATTGTTTTGTTGCAATTACTATGAATCCAGGTTATGCAGGTCGCTCTGAGCTACCAGATAATCTGAAGGTATAGTAGCAAAATAAATAGATTAATAGGGTAATTCAGATATGTTTTTAAATAGCCATATATTAAGATTGTGAGTGCTTCATCAAGAAAGGTGCGTATATTTCATATGCATAAAATAGGTAGCATGTGCCAATGTATTATTTGTATACATCTTAACATTTTTAATGATAGATATGCATATAAATCAGTGAAAGTGGCTTGAGTGATTAATAAACCAATAAATTGAAGATGGATATGATTTTCTGAGAATGGGAGAATTACAGATCCTATAATACTATAACATTTTCTTTCTAGGACCAAGCTTGAAAGCATTGCTCTCTCTAGGCGTTTGAAATTATTCAATCTGAAATGAGAACTACTGCTTTAATAAAATAATACTTACTGGCCACACACACAGTATCTGAAATAAACCTTACTGGAGAGCAATTTAACTAAATGGCTTTTTATTGTGAAAGATTATAGATGTCTCTCATACAAACTGCAGTAATTTTATGATACCAGTTTTCAGAGATAATAGCAATATGTATGTCTTTATTCTACTCTTTTAGGTTCTTTTCCGAACAGTTGCCATGATGGTTCCTAATTATGCCCTCATTGCTGAAATCTCTCTATATTCTTATGGATTTCTGAATGCTAAGCCATTGTCTGTGAAGATAGTCATGACCTACAGATTGTGTTCAGAACAACTTTCATCTCAGTTTCATTATGACTATGGAATGCGTGCAGTCAAAGCAGTACTAATAGCTGCTGGTAACTTAAAACTAAAATTTCCAACAGAGAACGAAGATATATTGGTAAGTACTACCTTGTGGTTTACAAATTTGAAATTAATCCATTCAGCTTAAGTGGATATTTTTGCAATTAGTGATAGTCTTTTTGCTTAATTAAGTTGCTTTATTTGTTTTATCAGCTCCTTCGATCAATCAAAGATGTAAATGAGCCTAAATTTTTGTCTCATGACATACCTCTATTTATGGGAATTACAAGTGATTTATTTCCTGGCATTAAGCTCCCTGAAGCTGACTATAGTGTGAGTATATTGGTAGAATGTTGTTTGCCAGTAATATTTTTATTTGCCCTAATTAATAATTATTTGCTACATATGTACAACGAAAACAAGTTTTGAGTTGTAATTATGGTAAGAAAGTTTAGACCATTTCTGTGAAACAAAAATTCATTCAAATTCAATGTATTTGTAGAAGGTAACTCTTAATAATTAATGAAACACATTTCATTCTTTCAAAATGTGGCTTAATTTTGACATTTATGTCTTTGCTTCTAGAATGGTATTTCTAAACTCTTGGTAATCTAGCTTAGCTTTCTTGATAAATATGTTTTTCAGTGTCTTCATAATTTAAAAAGGCCAACTCCATTAACAAACAACCAGAACAGCTGACCAACAGTATAATTCTATGCATGTCCACTCAAAAGTCAACTATAAAGTATTGTAGTTGAACATAATTAAACTCTTGTTTAACATATTTAGGATTATTCAGTACATTATAAAGGATTGTACAATATGTTCACACTCATGCTTTGATCAGTTCCTGGTTAGATGATTGCAATGCAGTCTACATGTGGCTGCTTTTGAAGAGTACTCTGAAGTCAGTGGTGTGGGTAGTTATGGGTACACCATGAGACACTCAGGTTGTAGCATTACTTCACAAGCTGCACTGGCTTCAGATACACTATTGGATGCAATTTAAGATGCTGGTTAGATTTCTAAAGCTGTCCATGGCACAAAGGCAGACTGTTTTCAGGAATGCCTATCTCTGAACATTTCTGGCCATTCCACAAGACCCAATAGATTGGAATTGCTTTGGGCCTTGTGCCTGGAACAAGACATCTGATGGGACATAGAAAGCCTGTTTCTATCTTGGTGCCTGCCCTATCAGAAATTCAGAGGGCTCTGATCCTGTGGCTTCCTATAAGAGTTGGAAAATGTGTTGCTTGTCCTGGCCAATAGACAATGGTATTAGCTGAGCCATTTTTTAAGGTTTAGGTGACTAATTGTGTTCCCTCTCCATGCATTGTGTTTTATTTCTACTTTGGGTTTTGCTTTTGGTTATTCTTTATTTTTAATCCAACATTACCTTCTGGAGTTGTAATAAGTAGGATGAGAGGCTGTGGCCATATAAATTGAATAAATAAATACAATAAATGTGACTACTTCATTTTCAATTTTCTTTCCAGGGCCATTTTTAAGATATTCCTGATAGTAAGCAATGTTATATTTTGAATTATATTATTCAATTATACTCAAGAAATAAAAATATAGAATTTATTTTTATTGTATTTCAGGATTTTCTGGAATGTGCAAATGAATGTTGCAAAGAGCATAATGTCCAGCCTGTTAAAGTTTTTCTAGAAAAGATGATACAGACTTATGAAATGATGATAGTTAGACATGGGTAAGTACATTTATGATAAGTAACCTTTATAAGTATTTGTTATGGTTTCACCAATATAATAGCTGGTTTACAAGAGAAAATGTTAACTCTGTTACAGTTAAGAATAATGTAAGGCTATCCCACTGGGGAATCAAATAAAGCTGATATTATTGGGATGGGTAGGAGAAAGATGATAACATACCAAATGTATGCTGTGGTTAGATGCACAGGTCAGAGAACAAGAAGCCTAACTTTTCCATTATGATGGAATAGTGGTGACAGGAGAAGGTCTACCATGCTAGTATAGGTGATGAATTGTGTACTCAGGATTACTTCATAACTTCAATCTAATCTCATTTTTTCTCACTTACCATGGAGTTATTTTTAAAATATAAAGCAAGAAACAAGCCATTCCATTCTATTACATAATCACAGTTATATGAACTTGCAGCGTTCTATTGTAATCCACTCCTGAACATTAGCCAGGTTTTAAGGGTATTCTTTTTAGAGAAATGAGTCAGTCCAGATTTTGGAATGAAGCAGATTAGAGAAGGACAGGAGTCAGTGGTAAGAAAAAACAGTAATACAATACATAAAGAGCTCGATTTCTTTTGGTATTAATAAAGTTTGTTATAATATTTTTTGGGCTTTGGCATGGTTTTTTTTATCATCCTCAATTTAACATGAAGTAAATCTGATAAGGTTGGTCCATACAGTGAATTAGTTATCAAAGTGATACCACTATATTAAAAATTCAGAACTCCTGATTATAATGTATTCCTTTAGGGAAATTCAAATTTGTATTAAAAGTGAAAAAGACACCATAGGGAGTCTATAAATGGGGGCGTGCATAAGTGCATCAATGTGCCTACCGTCCCTGTCCTATTGTTTATTTTATTTTTCTTATATGTACCCATTTCATGTATTCATAACTATGTATATACTTATACCTATTATCTTGTAAAGCGATTGACAAATCAAATAAAAATGGATTCTATTATTCACCACAGGAAATCTATGATTGGATTCATATAGTACTCTGGCACATTTTAACTTCAGTGCAATATGTAATAAGTCAAACACCTCTATAACCTAATGTACCTAATGTATGATCACCTTACATTGTTGGACAAAAAGTGTGAAAGAGATCTTCCAATTGAGAAGTGAATGGATAAATGCAGCTTGCATACATGCAAGCGAGTGCTGTAAAGCATTATAATACTGTATATAAGTCTAAATGCTATTGCTATGGTTATGATTGAGTTGTTGGAATTTAGATTAATTAATTAATTAATGATGATAAACATATGTCCATAAAATACATTAAGTGTATATAGTGTAAATACTGTATAAAAGAAACAAACAATAAAATAACCACAATGACACATTAAATAAACTCTTGACAAGCAATAGTATCCTATCACACCCCAAAAGTCTGTTTGAAATAATTTGGATTTTTAATAAGTTATGGAAAACCAATAGAGGCTGAATTATATTCTGGAGGGACGCTATTCTGCTTGAAAAACTCAGCTAGTTTTTCTTACTGTAACTTCATAAAAACTCAGTGTGCTCCCGTTCTCTCATTCTTTCCTTTTTTATAATTCCATTTTCACTTTTGTGGCAATTAAATGGGTATAGATATCTTCAGGATTAATTACTGTGAATAATGACTTTGCTTTTCTAGGCTGAAAAAAAATACTGGAAAACAACTTTTATTTTATCAGGTTTATGCTTGTAGGAGAGCCTTTTTCTGGCAAGACCAAAGTTCTGCATGTATTAGCAGATACACTTTCTCTAATGAATGAGCGTGAGTATGGAGAAGAAGAAAAGGTAATACACAGAACTGTCAATCCAAAAGCTATTACTATGGGGCAACTCTTTGGACGATTTGATCCAGTATCTCATGAGGTAATCATTATACATTCCTTAGATTACAAAAATGTACCTTATAGTTTTGATCAATTTAAATCTTCTGGTAGGGTAGCTCCATTAAATTGCTTATGGATGATGGGGTGGACCAACTGCACTGTAATATATAAGCATCTGTGTACTTGTATATTTTTAGGCATGTTTCAGGAAATGTTCCAAATACAAACGAAAAAGAATAAGTTCTGTCCTTCTTTATTTGATTGGTTAAGGCTACCCAATTCCACAAAGACTCTAGAAAGCTTATAAAATATCAGTTGTATAATTAAAACATAATATAGCAAAACATAACTGTCCACATAAGACAAAAACAATGACATTTAAAAAATATGACAGGGGCTTCACAAATACCCTAACCCAGACCTGGCAGCACAGGCATATATTAAGGGGCTGCCAGGACATTTGGACATATCTCCATGGGAATGCTATTCTAGAGGATGGAAGTGTTTTTAATGGAATTTATCAAGTCACTGCACAATTGTCAGCAGTCATGAAGAAACATTCTTAACCTTCTTAGTTTAATCATTCAGTAGCATGTTAAGTTTGATTAATGTCAATTTAATATGGTATGTATTTGAAACATGACTTGTTACACATGTATACATACATTCCCAAATCAGTACACATGTCAGGGCAATATAAGCAGTTAAAGTTTCCTTGTGTCTCTCTTCTTCACTTTAGTGGACAGATGGCGTAGTGGCCAATACTTTTCGAGAATTTGCTTTAACTGAAACACCTGACCGCAAATGGGTTGTTTTTGATGGTCCTATTGATACTCTTTGGATAGAAAGTATGAACACTGTGTTGGACGACAACAAAAAGGTGATGCTATTCATTACCTTGGATTGCTGGCGGGTGGGTGGGGATTGCATTAGCTTCCAAATTACCACTTCTTCCAATTATTGCATACAGATAGTTAATTTTCACTTAAACAGAATTTAGGGAGTTAATTTCTTTTTTCTAGTACTTATTTTTTAATTATTCATATAGTTTATCATAAAAAAAGAAAACTTAAATTATATTTCAGCAACAACCTTCATTGTGCCTATTTTTAAAAAGGCTTAGCAGTACAATATGTATGATAACTCACATTTTAAAAAATATGTTAACGGAAAGGGGGTGCATGATTAAAAAAATAAAAAAATGATTGAATACAAGCAACTGCAGAAAAGGAAATGAAAACAATTAATTCATGTGTTGAGCAAGAATGTAACATCCAAGGGTCTTGTAAAAACTTTCTAATATAAACCCTATCTTTTAAAAATACTTACATAGCTTGTCCTTAAGTAATATATTAAGATTTACCATTTCTATTGGTAAAAGCAGCAGAATTGTTCTTGTGGGTTGCACGCATCAAACCTCAGTTTACAGGTAGTCCGCAACTTACAACAGTTTGATTACTGACTAAAGTTGCAACGGCACTGAAAAACCTGACTTATGACTGTTTTTCATAGTTACGATCTTTGCAGCATCCTCATGATTATGTGATCAAAATTCAGATGCTTGGCAACTGGTTCATAGTTATGATATTTGCTGTGTTTCTAGGATCATGCGATCTTCTGATAAGCAAAGTTAATGGGGAAACCAGATTCACTTAACAAGTGCAGTGATTCAGTTAACAATTGTGGCAAGAAAAGTTGTAAAATGAGGCAAAACTCACTTAACAAATGTCTCACTTAACAACATAAATTTTGGGCTCAATTGTGCTTGTATGTCAAGGACTACCTGTATTGTATTCTTCCTCAAGACAGCTTTCAAGGCATGAAAAATCTTGTAGAAACTATCGTGATTTTTATGTTCAGCTATTCTGAATGCATCTACTAGGTTGGCCTTAGCTGAGACACTTTCTTTCTCAACCCAGAGCTGGTAGAATCCTTTATCACAGGATTGCACACATATAATTTGGATATTTTTTTGGTATCCGTTTTTGTTTTCAGTTATGTCTGATGAGTGGAGAAATTATTCAAATGTCACCTCAGATGAGCCTCATCTTTGAAGCTATGGATCTATCTCAGGCTTCCGTAAGTGAAAACCAAGTTAAAGCAGCTTTCTGAATCTGAAATTGGAATCAGAATGAGATTCTAAAAATACATTTATTATTCTGCTGTAGCCAGCTACAGTCAGTCGATGTGGAATGATTTATTTAGAGCCTTCACAATTGGGATGGAAGCCACTTGTTACTTCATGGTTGATGACACTTCCTGAACCCCTGAATGAAAAGGAATTCCAAGACCTGTTTGAAGACCTTTTTGATTGGTTAGTACCTCCTGCTTTGCGAGTCCGTCGGAAACAGTGCAAGGTAATTTGACATTCTCTCAGGAAAATGATTTAATCAGCTTATTTTTGTTGACAGAATCATATGTTGGTGAAGCCAGCTTTCTCTTTGGAATTATAAATATTTTTAAGTTTGTATAGTTCAAAGATATACATAAACTGCTTGGAGTACAGGTAGTTCTCATTTAGCAAACACAGTAAGGACCAGCACCTTGATTGTTAAGCAAAGCAATCATTAAGTGAAAATAAACTGCTTATGATCTCAATTGGATAACCATTTATCTGAAATGGTATAGGGTTTCCTGCCTAAGCAAGGAGTTGGACTAAGACCTCCAAGGGCCCTTCCCAACTCTGCTATTCTATTCTATTCTATTCTATTCTATTCTATTCTATTCTATTCTATTCTATTCTATTTAGCTTTCCTTTGTTTTACAGACTTGTGACTGTCATAAATCACACATAAATCATAAAGCAAGGATTGGTCATACTAAACAAGGCGGCTGCTAAGTGAGGACTACTTATACTGGTCTTTTTAATCTTGCTCATAGTGGGTTGTAAACTCTCAAAAATTGTTCGTTATCATCCATAAGGAATTGTTGTAGATTATTTCTTGGGTTGAAAGGTTTTGGCCTTACTTACTTGGAGGGATGAGTTCAAAAGACGGTGACTTCTGTTTCATCCTGTGTCTGCTAGGTTTTATCCATGCCGTCCACCCTCATTTTTTAAACATCTGCATGAAATTGCTGGAGGAAATAATCTAAATATTGGAACTATCTAATTACATGAATAGTTCAACTTCTGTTCCATTATCTATTGTGCAAACTTAATCTAGATCATCAAAGTAAGCTGGGAAGGGATAATGTATTGATATGAATGGAACCTTGGAAAAATAAATGGATAGAAACCTCCCAAAATAATCAGTTACTCTCTGATCAATTTGCCTACTACCCATGTCAACAAGTGAGTCTACATGGAGAACAAAATTAAAATAAAAAATCACAACCAGCCATAAAAAATTAAAATTAGCAGTTGACGAAGGTATAAACATTATGAGACATCAACCCAACCAGGAGACTGGTCTCTTCATACACTTGGGGCCTCAGGCCTTGGACACATAACTAGTTCTTTTGTGCCTGGTTACAAAGGCCATCAAGACTGGGGCCATTCTAATCTCCTTAGGGAAAATGTTTCATAGGGGAGGTGTTATATCAAAAAGGGCCTGTCTCCTGGTCTGACCAACCAGCATTTCTTAGCTGAGTGTGGATAATTTTAATTTGTATGACTTAAGATTTTCTGTACGTTCACTATGATGCTCTGTTACAAAAAATAAGTAGTTATTTGTTGAGTAAGTTTTATGAGTAATTAAGAGAGAGGCTCCATGAAAGAAAAACAATTATAAACTTTTAATAAAATATTACAATATCACCTGAATCATATCTGTAGCTGTTCAGAATTTGCATTCATAAAATATAAAATGTGGTAAAACTTAAATTTATAGTACAATGTTATAATATGAACCTCTATATCTGTCCTGCACATGTACATACATACTGTTACTCTTTCTCTCTTACAGGAGTTAGTTCCCACCAGCGATAGCAATAATGTGGTATCTCTTGCTCGGCTGTTGGAAATGCTGTTGTGTCACAAAGCGAAAAAAGATCCAAGCAATAAAAATATCCATAAATGGGTTACGGTTGGTCTCATAATTTAACATATGTTTCAAACTTAAAAATTGGTTATAATTCATTTAATAAATTTCAGCCTTTGAATTAACCGTTTTTACAGTTAATGTAAGACAAAATATAAAATATTATGTCACTATAGATAAATAATGCGCACTTCAAATCTTTTATCTGGAAATTTGCTATAACTGTAGCAAATGTACTGAAGTTAAACTAATTACACTTAGCTACTAATTTCTCCATGAGCATATTTTATGAAAATATCAATTATTTATTTATTCTTTTGGAAGGGTTGTTTTGCTTTTGCTATGATTTGGTCTATTGGAGCAACATGTGATAGTGATGGTCGGATTATATTTGATAACTTTATGAGAGATATTGTCATAGGAAAATTGGATGAACATCCAATACCAGCAAGCATAGGAAAATGGGAACATCCATTTGAAGAAAAAGGATTGGTGTATGATTATATGTTTGAGGTATGGGATCTGCTCTAGAATTATTGATAGTTATTTTAATTTGCTATATTTGTTCTCATATTTGTTATATGAAAAAGAATTATCACTAATATTAGGTTTGATTAAATATTAGTATATGTCTCAGGATAATCTATGCATATGATCAAGTGTTGAAAAACTTGTGAATAATAATTTTTTAAGAAATTGTCTTTAAGATAAACTTCTTTAATACTATTCCTTTCTTTACTAATAGAAAAGAAAATGGATAAAATCTTCCTTCCCATCTAGCGTTTACAAGAAGCAGTAGTGAATAGTGGGGGATGTGGGGTGGGGGAATGTTTGCAAAAGGTTAGTTTGCAGTCAGGAAAATATATTTCTCTTGGGGAGGTGCATTCAGAGTCCAGGGAAGGTATGAAGAGCCTTTTTTGTTGTACATTGTTACAATAAATCTACCTTTCCCAAAATTTCATTGTATTGCTTTCATTGTTTATTTATGTTTATTTGATATTTGTATTTTTAAGGGAGGTATTACACTAAAATGAGTTGTGATGGGGAAAAGTTTATGAATCCCTGTTTTAGAACAGAGGTCGCCAACTGGTGGGCCACGGCCCACTGGTGGTCCATGAGAAAATTTTGGTGGGCCACAGTGCACCCGTGTCTGCAACAGGGGTGATACCAGCAGCAGATAGACTAATGTGCACAGGGAGGGAGGGTAGTGCACAGGAGATGGCGGCATCGGAGCCTTTCCCAGGTGTTCCTTGGCCTGCGAGGGGGTGGGGGGAAAGGAACATCTGAACTGGTGCTGGGTGGTGGGAATCTGATGTCCAGAGGCCAACGAGCCATGTGCTGAAGACCAGATGGCTGGCGGGGAGGTGGGGCAATACTGCAGTCTCCTTAGCAAACCCATGTCCTGGTTGCTGCCTCCTGTCTCAGCACATCGAGGAGGCCGAGCAGCAGCGGGAAGAGCACAGACCTCCTGAGCCACAGGAAGCGGCTGCCAGCGATGCCCTAAGGTGAAGAAGTTGTGTGTGGGAGGCTCAACCCCTTCCCTCAGGAACCGCAAAGTGCTCTCTACCCCTCTGGCAGCCACCAAGCCTCCTCCCACCATGCTTCTCTTCCTCCTCACCAGAAGCGCTCACTCGCCCAGCGGGAAGGAGGAGGCTTGGCAGGAGCCAGGGGGTGGTGAATGCTTTGCGGCTCCTGAGGGGAGAAGTCAAGCCTTTCCCTCACAACATCTTCACCTGAGGGTATTGCTGGAAGCTGCTCGACCTCCTCGATGCGTGGAGGCAGGAGGAAGAAGGTAACACCAGTTCAGAGATTCCTTTCCCCTCATCCGCACCCCTTTGCAGGCCAGGGAACACCCGGGAAGGGCTCCAATGCTGCAATTTCCCACGTGTATCAGTCCATCCACTACCGGTATCACCCCTGTTGCCCCACCTCCCTACCAGCCATCTGGTCTTCAGCACGTGGCTCATCAGCCTCTGCACATCAGATTCTCATCATCCAGCACCAGTTCAGACGTTCCTTTCCCCCTATCCCCACCCCCAGAGACAGGGGGGAAGAGAGAGAGAGAAAGAAAGAGGAGAGAGGGAGAAAGAGAGAGGGAGGGAGAGAGAGAGAGGGAGAGTGAAAGAGGGAGAAAAGGAGAAAGGGGGGGAGGGAAAGAGAGAAAGAGAAAGAGGGAGAAAAGGAGAAAGAGAGTGGTGGAGGGAAAGAAAGAAATGAGAGAGAGAGAGATGAGAGATCCCAGTGTTTTGTTTTCTGTGTGAAATGGGTCCAAATGACTCTTTGAGTATTTAAGGTTGCAGAAACAGGCAGCCTAGCTAAGTGCTTGAAGGACCCCATCCCATCAGTGGAAATCCAGGCACTTCAGCGAGTGGCATGATGGATTCATTTTAGTGGTCCGTGGGATTTAAAATTATGAGTTTGGTGGTCCTTGAGGTCCAAAAGGTTGGCGACCCCTTTTCTAGAGTATAAGGTTTAAAGAAAAAAGGGGTTTATCATTAGTATGACTTCTAATAAAACATAGAGATGTCTACCATGTATGGAGGGGCCCTCACAATTGGTATAGAAGATGAAAATGTGCTTCAGTTACATAGTATTTTATCCTTTACACGTTTCATTGTTTTAGCATTATTGCTTTGATATTAAAAAAGATGCTGATATCTATTAAGTTCTAATGAAACCAAATTTATTTCTACTTTTCTTCATAGTTAAAAGGAAAAGGCCGTTGGGCACATTGGAATGAAGCTGTTAAAAGCATCAATTATAGTGATAAAAGTATTAAAGTTCAAGACATTATAGTTCCAACAATGGACACAGTCAGATATACCTATTTGATGGAATTGTGCATTAAATATGGAAAGTAAGGCGTGTTTCTTTTAATTATACAAATGTTTCATTTTCCACATGAGCTCTTTATGTAAAGCATCCAGAGATTGTTTTACAGTTTAATTAGCAAATAATAATTTAATACTACTGTGTTTCTAATAGTAAGCTCCACAAAATATTGTTTAAAACAATATGTTCTTGTATGCATCTAGTTTAAACACTATTAACTTTTAACTTAAGTTTTTGCATAATTGCTCATGGTCATATTACTATTGTATCATAATATATTTAGAATTGTAGAACTGAAGAAAGTAGAATGCTGAATTTCTTTAAAGTTCATTTAATTTCATTGCCCTTTCTAGCACCACTTCACCGCATACCAGAGGTGGTATTCAGCAGGTTCTGACCAGTTCTGGAGAACCGGTAGTGGAAATTTTGAGTAGTTCAGAGAACTGGCAAATACCACCTCTGACTGGAGATTTTACACTGTCCTTCCCCTGCCACACCCACCGAGCCACACCCACAGAACTGGTCATAAAAAAAAATTGAATCCCACTACTGCCGCATACGTATTTCAAGCCAATATGCAATAGGATGTATCTGCAAAGCAGGCCACCGTAAAATAGAGGGAGGGGAAATTATGTGCAGAGGAATTTCATTTTTATATTAGATTTTACTATGTTCTCAGAAAAATGCTGAAGTGAATTAACTGTTAAATACCTGTATAGACAGTTACTTCCGTTGGGCTTAAATGCATGGATTTATCTCAATAAATCCTGATAAGCTATAAAAGATTGATTTCTGTTAATTTACATAGGCTAACATATTAAGCCAATATGTTGATCCACTGCTCTATGCAAAATTTATTCAATTTCTATTTCTATTCCAATGGACACCATTGGATTTTACCTTGTTTCTAATAACAGTAATAATTTTTAAAAAATAATTTAAAAAGAAAAATATATGGGGATATAGGATTCCTTCCTTCTATAGTACTTTTTTTCTAGCAACACATGAGCTTGGGATTGTGCTTATTCTTAAACAAGGGAGAAATGGAACTGACTAAGTGTGACTGCTGTAATAGTAAAATACCTTGGTAAAATAAGGCAGCTAACTTAGGAACTGTGTAAATAGCAGAGTAAATATTAAAAAGAATAATAGCAGTGCCCTGGGCCATGAATAATATTAAAAAGTTCCTCTTGACTTAAGGTTCTAAACCCAGTTCAATTGTAGTTTTCTTTACTTCATTTATTATTTTTTAACTGCCTGATAGCCCAAGCTCTCTGTGCAATGAACATTATAACTCACTAAAATATATTCTCAGTTAAAACCCCATATGATAACATAAAACAAATTACAAAATAAAAACCGCATATAAACTAGGCAGTAGCACAGCAGCCATTTAAAAACTAACAATTACAACAAAGTTAAAATACAATTAAAAGTCAACTAAAAGCTTGGGAAAATAGGAGATGATTTTAATTCCACAACATATTGATAATGTTTGTGAATGGCTCAGATGAACACCTTCCAAATCCACTGAAGTTATAGGAAAGAGGAGGTATAGCACAATTAAATTTGCAAGTCTGTTATTATAGCCAGTTTCAATAAAATTGATTCCTAGTGGTCTAGTGTCTATCCAGAGGGGCTGACATCAGTCTTGCATGTATAATTGCCTGAATCTTCTGCTTAACATATTGGACTTCTACATACATTTCAATTGCATTTATTCTTTTATTTCTTTGTGATTCCATGAATAGGTAACTAAAATTATAAAGCAATCATATGATTCTCAAGCAATTAAAAATTGTCAGAATCAATTATTGTTGTTTAACAGTTCCAACTATCTAGTCTAACCTAGTCATGAAAAACTAATGTCAGTCTGAATTTCTTTCCAAGGGCACTGCTTTTTGTGGGACCTACTGGTACTGGGAAGTCTGTATATGTAAAAGACAAGCTAATGCACAACTTACAAAAGGATCTCTACTTCCCATTCTTCCTTAACTTTTCAGCTCGAACCAGTGCCAATCAGACCCAGGTTAGTGAGATAGTTCTCTTTAGAACTACCAGTACTTGGGATCATTTATTAAAATTTGAATTTTTAAATTTATTTTTGCTGGAACCCTACTTTGCTTTAGGACTGCAGTTTACATTTAGATTCATTTGACATGAATATTCATTTACTTCCATCATTTAGTTAGCTAAACAAAAAAATTGATAATAAAACATATTTTATTTAAGCATAAGCAACCTTGTAGGGACAGTTGACTAGGTGATCACATCAGTGTTGTGGGCAAAAATAGAATGGTTCAAGAACTCTCTTTCTCTCTCTCTATATATATAGTGTGTGTGTGTGTGTGTGTGTGTGTGTGTGTGTGTGTGGATCTTTGGTTATTCGGGTTTTCTCCCACGTAAAATTGGAAGTATCTAGGCAACGTTTCGATGAAGTCTCATTCATCATCTTCAGGCTTGTATCTTCGGCTCTGTGCTTCTCAGAGAGAAGCACAGAGAAGCACAGAGCTGAAGACACAAGCCTGAAGATGATGAATGAGACTGCATCGAAACGTTGCCTAGATACTTCCAATTTTACGCGGGAGAAAACCCGAATAACCAAAGATCCACATACAAATACCCGCGAGAACCTCAGAAAACAAATATATATATAATATACCATATATATATATGGTATTCAGCTTTATTTGGGTATTTTCCCACATCATTATAGTTGTGCTTTTAAAGTTGTAGCAACGTTTCGGCAGAATCTCATCTGCCATCATCAGGCTTCTGTATTGTGTTCATCTGTGAGTCAGACTTTTACAGTTGTTTCAGTTTTAAATTTGGGGCTAGCCTACTGCTGTGCCAGAATGGTTTTTTCTTCATCCTGATTGGTTGGGAGTCTTAGTCTGTGTTTATTGGTCTTGGAGTTTGCTGTGTTCTGCTTGATTGGTGTTTCTAATATCTTCTGTCTGTTTTGTGGCTTTTTTGTGTCTTGATTGGCTGGCAACATTGTGTTCCTGTATTGGAGGCTTTTAGTGCAGCTTGGCTCCGAGTAAATGGACGGCTATCATTTGTTAGGAAGCTAGGTTTCATCTGGGTGCCTGGTTGGGGTGTGTTTGAGCTGGAGGTATCGGGGGGATCTGTTTGTGCCCAGGTGTTTGCCTGGCTAGTGGTGTGGAGATTTTTTTGTTTGTGAGTGCAGGCTTCCAAATAATTGACAGTCTGGTGGAATCATCTCTTCTATTCATGCTTTCAGGTCTTTTTTCAGTCTCTGTGGCTTCTCTGATAATTCTGTGGCTGGGGTTTTCTATAGTGGCTAGGGTTTTGGTGCCATTGAAGTTGATGCTATGACCTGTGGCTTTCATGTGTTGGACTAGTGAGGAAGTGTGTTCCAGCTTTTTTACTGCATTTTTGTGTTCATCCAGGCGGGTACTTATTCTTCTATTGGTCTGTCCAATGTATGTGGCTGGGCATGATGCACAGGGGACTTCATATATGCCTTGGTTTTCCATATGAAGAAAAAAAAATATTTCAGCCCCTTTTGCCCCTGGTAATGGTTCCTGCTTATTTCTGTCAAGATCATCTTCCTTACTTTCTACAGTTTTTGTGCTACTGTGATAACATTTTTCAAATTGGTTCTGCTACAATATTGCTTCTCTTGCATTAATATTTTCCATCTGTTAAGGGTTGCTTTTATGCAGTTAAAGTTGAGCTATATCACTGTTCTTTGGTGCGATATCTTTTTGTGCATTGTGTGTGAGGCACATCTTAACGTTTATTTTTTAAAAGTGTAATAATTTGATATTAAATTGTAATATTTATCATACTGTAAACTATTTTTAATGAATGGAAAAATGTTCCTTTTTATTGTAGAATATTGTCATGGCCAGGTTGGACAAAAGGCGGAAAGGAATATATGGGCCACCAGTGGGAAAGAAGTGTATAATCTTCGTAGATGATATGAATATGCCTGCCCTGGAGCAGTATGGAGCTCAGCCTCCAGTTGAACTTTTAAGGCAGTTTTTTGATCATGGAATCTGGTAACTGGTTTTTTATTACATATAATGCAGAAATGTTTGAATGTTATCAGGCTTGCAGTTACACAAAACATTTGTTTCAGTTGTGAGGATATAGCACTATTGTTTTTTTAAAATTATTTTTTATTATACATTTTCCTTTATTATACATCACATTTCCATTTCTGCAAGACAGTGTTGCAGTGTATCTGTATCAAATCTCTTTAGAATACACATAATATTATACATCATAATTATAGCCATTATTCTCATAATATCACTATTGTTGTTTTTTCAACTTTTTCCGCTTTGTTTTCACTGGTAGAGCGTTGCACGAGGCCATCGCAGCCAAAAATGGAAAGGACTGCAGGAGGCTCTCCCAAGCTCTGTTTTTGATAGGAGAGAGTGGCAGGAAGGCATCACAGCTGAAAATGGAGCTGGGGAGCCCATTTTTGCTGTCAGAGTGCTTGGGCAGCCATTGGCGCCCCTGACACGAGTGTCGTTGAGCTGGCCATGCCTACGGCCTCCTGACCACGGCCTCTCCAGCCTCCCAAGGTCAAACAACCCTGGTGTGGCCCTCAATGAAATCAAGTTTGACACCCCTGCTCTACAACATGGATGTCAAACCTGCCACTTCACATTGCCGTCACATGGCGTTTCATGACATTTTCCCCATTCATGGAGCTGGACGTGGCCTGCGTGTCACACATCTGGCCCACAGGCTGCCAGTTTCACAACCCTGCTCTAGAGAATTATGATATTAATTTTTGTCACAGTGAGTTGTTAGGGTTGCCAGCTGCTCTAGAGAAGTAGATTAGTCTTTTTTGTTTTTGGCCCCATGGCTATTTTGGAGATGCAACCAATAACCAATAGGATTCTCCTGAGCAACCAACATGCTCAGTGTCTTGTTTCTTTCTCTTCAAGAGGCATGACCATAACTGCTGGATGAAGTCATTGCTGTAGCTAGTCAGAGAAGCATCCGGTTAGACCGGGTATCAAACTCACGGCATCACAGTGGCATCACATGACATATCAGGACTTTTTCCCCCTTTGCTAAACCTGGCATTGGGGTGGCCAGCATGTGATGCATCCAGCTGGGAGTTTGACAGCCTTGTGTTAGACTTTCTAGTTGGGGAGAAAAATAAAAACCACAAAACTCTGCCTGTCCAATGTATCATCTATCAGCCATATACCCCACATATTTACTTCTAAGGTGGGTTTTTAGAAGATAATTTTATGTGTGCATATATTATTAAAAGGAAGCTGAATTTTTAATAAAGTTTTAGTCAATAATGAGGTTTAAGCATACATTTGTAAATATATATCCTTAAGTTTCCATACATAGTAAAGCTTTATTTTCTTAGTGAATGTTTCATTTCTCATAATAGTGTACAATAATGCAAGTGTGACTCCATAAGGAATTCCCCTTTCATGTGATTATTTCTGCAGTACTAAGAAGTTGTGATATTATACTCAAATCTGTCCTTTTACCAATGAAATTCCTTTTCCATACAGATTTGGAGGTTTTCAGGATGATGTAAAGATGAGAATTGGAAATGGAAACTGTTGCTACATAGTTAATATATACGATACTATGTATAGCTAGATGAATATTAATGTATTTCTATTCTATTGCACTAATTTGTCTATTGCTGTCATCTGAATATCACATCTATTTTTCTTTTAAAGGTATGATTTAAAAGACACAAATAAAATTACACTAGTTGATATTCAGTTGATGGCTGCCATGGGTCCACCAGGTGGTGGAAGAAATCCTGTAACACCTCGTTTCCTGAGACATTTCAATATTTGCACCATTAATTCTTTTAGTGATGAAACAATGGTCCGGATTTTTTCTACTGTTGTTTCTCTCTATCTCAGAGTAAATGAATTTATTCCAGAATATTTCACAGTTGGAAACCAGATTGTCAGTGGCACTATGGAGGTAGGTCATATTCTCTGCTTATTTTTAGTTCTGCTAAAATGTAGACTAAGAGGATAACTCATATATAGTCTCATAAATGTATCATTTATGGATAAAGTGCAACAAATTTTTCTAATGGGCAAATCTTTTCTGAAATACTGGTAGTATTGAGAAAGTATATGCAAAGGATCGACAAGATAAGAAATTATGAAATGAGCATTGCATTATTGCAATGCGATCTATGCCTCTTTTGCATGTCCATCATGAGATGCACACACACACACACACACACACACACACACACACACACATGGCAGAGCTTGTACAGCAATATCACCAATAGTAATGTTGTGGTTTGACAAAATCTCTGTACCTTCAGATACCTGTAGACAGGTGCATGTGTATATATGTTCACAGTGCTTTTGGCTCTCAAATGTTACTTTGCTGTTATAAATTGAATAATAGGTAGGTGTACGTGCATTGTCACCTGCAACTTCCTTTAGTAGTCACTAATAGACTGATCCGCCAAGATCCTCAGAAGTTCTCTTTTAATGTCTTCCACTACTGCAGTTCCACAACTTAACTCCTTAGTGTCGTATAAAAAGTATTTAGAGCAAAAGGTATTTGCTATAGTTCACTATTTCTCACATTTCGCTTCTCCTGTTGTTTTCATGTTTCTGTCACAGATTTGTTCAACACATCATCTACAAGCTATGGCTGGTTCAAAATACAATGGCATGGGCAATATTGAGCAGATCTTTTCTATCATTTCTACTTCACTAGCAGAATAGGTTATCAGTTGGCTTCTGGTTGCAATTACAAGTGATGATTGTCACATTTAATGGCATAGGGCTTGGATGTTTAAAAAAACATCCATCTCCAAATGTACTGACCATCTAGTGCAATGATGCATAGTTGGTGTGCTCTGGGTCCCTTCTATTAAATGTCATCCTGCAGGAGTGAGAAGCATATCTTCTCTGCCATGGCATCTGTCCTCTGGAACAGCATTCCCCAGAGATACATATAGCTCCCATCCTTCAAATGTTCCAGAGTTTCTTTAGACCTGCCTCTGCTCCCAGGCTTGTGGTTAGAGTATATATGGAGTTCCTGGTGATTTTTTGGAGGGGTGTTATTTTTATCTGGTTGGTGATATTCCTTTCTAAAATTTTATTTAAAAAAACTTGTAAGCTGCTCAGAGTCTTTTTGGAATTGGGCAGCCCTCAAATCCAATACAGATGTAGATATAGATATATACTTATGTTTGATTATCTATGTTTATGAAATTCATAATTCTAAAAATCTATGCTTTTTTCTTTCCAATAATTAAGGTATATAAGAAAGCCATGGCAAACCTATTGCCAACACCAGCCAAATCCCATTATACATTCAATTTGCGTGATTTTTCACGAGTTATTCTAGGCTGCTTGCTTATTAAGAAGGACTCGGTTGTCAACAAGCATACAATGATTCGTCTTTTTGTACATGAAGTATTTCGAGTGTTTTATGACCGGCTTGTGGATGATGCTGATAGGGCTTGGTTGTTCAAACTCATAAAAGAAATTGTAAAAGAACATTTCAAAGAAGCCTTTGATGCAGTATTTTCACACCTCAGACAAGGAAATGCACCTGTAAGTATTCACAGTATTTATTACAAAACTATCTCTTATTCATTCCTGCCTGAGCAGCTTTGGTAGAAATTGAACAAAATCTTACAATTGTGTGTCATTTCATATGGCAAAAGCAAGATGTTTCTTCGCTGGATGTTTTCAGAATAGCCATATTTTCTTGCCTTTTTTTTTTTTAAATAAACAGGACAGCATAAAGATGTAGCCCATGACCCCTGATACATCTTGTAGCCCTTTTGAGAGGTTACAGAATATGACTGTGGGGATATATTGCAGTGGCTATGCAATTTGAGTGAATTATGGTTGGATAGATATCTAATTTTATTTTCCTGGGCTCCAAGATCACCGCGGATGGAGACTACAGCCAAGAAATTAAAAGACGCTCCTGGGGAGAAAAGCTATGGCAAATCTAGACAGCATACTAAAAAGCAGAGACATCACCCTGCCAACAAAAGGGCGTATAGCCAAAGCTATGGTTTTCCCAATTGCAATGTATGGCTGCGAAAGTTGGACCATAAGGAAGGCTGAGCGCCAAAGAATTGAGGACTTTGAACTATGGTGCTGGACAAGACTCCTTTGAGTACCTTGGATTGCAAGGCGATCAAACCAGTCAGTCCTAGAGAAGATCAACCGACTGCTCTTTAGAAGGCCAGATCCTGAAGATGAAACTCAAATATTTTGGTCACCTAATGAAAAGGAAGGACTCACTGAAGAAGAGCCTAATTCTGGGAAGGACTGAGGGCAAAAGAAGAATGGGATGACAGAGAATGAGGTGGCTGAATGGAGTCACTGAAACAGTAGGCGTGAGCTTAAATGGACTCAGGGGATGGTAGAGGACAGGAAGGCCAGGAGGAATGTTTTCCATGGGGTCACAATGGGTCGGACACGACTTCGCAACTACTACAACAACAAGAAGATATCTAATTGAAGTATTTGAGTAGCGATGTTCTCTGAAATAGAAAGGAAGTGCAGGAGAGACCCACTTGATTTCTTGCTGCATGGTAGTTTCAAAAGCTCCTCTCTTTTTTTTTTACAGCAGAACTATGAAATGGTAACTGTCTATATGAAAGAGAGGGGAAAATCTCCCATTCTAAAACTAAAAAAAAGCTCCATCGTTTTCTGCCTTTGGAGGAATATTTTCACTTCATTTTTTTTCTCTTCATTTTTTTCAAACATCTTTGAAACTAAACATGCAAATAAAAATAGGAAAAGATCCCAGAAGGAAAGATCCTTAGAGAAAAGCCCACAAAGATCATCTCAGAGACCAGTTTCTGTTGCAATCTTCTTGCCACAGTACTACCAAGTGTATGTAGATGGACCCCAACTATTCCTATTCTATTGTTGAAATATTATTTATTTTATCTTATTCATAATTGTTGAAATTGCAAATTAGGTATGGTTTGTATTTTGGATGGAAGAACTTGTAAATGAGACTTTTTGTAGGCAACTGTCTGGAAAGAGTTACACCATCTGTGCTGAACTGATTAATAATCTGGGTGTCGACTTGGGCTCCCAGCTCCTGCTTCAGGGGCAGGTGGTAACTGTGGCCAGAAGGACCTTCATACAGCTCTATCTTGTATGCCAAGTTGCAACCATTTCTGGATTAGGAGGTACTTGTAATAGTGATTCATGCCTTTATCATGTCTTGATTCAACAATTGCAATGTATTGTATATGGAGCTGTATATTGAAGATCATTCAGTGTGTGTGTGTGTGTGTGTGTGTGTGTGATCTTTAGAATATTTCAATGTAAGTTATTGGTGCTGCTTATTTTGATGAAGTAATACACTAGTGCAACAGCTGAAATAGTTACTAGTTGGCTTCTGGGTGCAATTCAAGTTAATGATTGTCAACTTTAAAATTCTGCCTGGTCCAGGACCAGAGTACCTGTCAAACTATGTATTCCATTAGAATATGACAATCTGATAAGATACAGAAGCTCTGAGAAATCTGTTAAAGGTATTAGGGGAATGTCTTATTTTGTTATCCAGGATCAGAATGAACTTGGCCTTAAGGACACTATTCCTAAATAAGTATATAACTGATAAATACTTTCTATGAACTCCTGCCCTGCTGATCACTCAGAATTAGAATCACATTGACAAGTTTTGCCAGAGAGCATGGACTAGATAGGTTGATTCCATGTGACAAATACAGTTCTACATATACAGTATGTACAAATTAAGCCATAGAGGAATTAAATCAGGATATTTTGTTATTGTTTGCTATTTAGATCTGAATCAAGATAATGATATTTTCTCATCCTGCTTGCAAAATTAGCATAGCAAAGGTTATTGTACTAACACCCATTAGTAATGCTTAGTACCGTTTGGGTAGCAATTGTGCTTTCTGATTTAATTTTGTAATCTCAATATTTTTGCATTGCATTCCATGATTTTTTATAATGTATTTGTTGCATTTATGAGCTTATGCACAATGTCATTGAGGCTTAAAATGGCACATTCAAATCTTTATTTGTCAGTACAAGTATCATAACCAAATTTCTGTATTCTTAATTGCATACAATGCTTTTAAAATAGACTGGATGTCATTTCTTTTCCATCAATAGATAAGTGAAGAAGATCTGAGGAATCTGCTGTTTGGAGACTATATGAATCCTGACCTTGAAGGAGAAGAAAGAATTTATTATGAAATTCCAAGTATACAAATGTTCAATGATGTTGTGGAACTATGTTTGGATGAATATAACCAAACTCACAAAACAAGAATGAATCTAGTAATTTTTAGGTGCAATACTTTTGTACATTACTTTTACCAACCATCACAGAATACTTATATTCTTATTTAATTTATTTGGATTAGAAAATACAAAGTATAATTTAACTTAGGAACTTGTTCAGATAAAGTCTGGTAGCAGTAGTTAATTACCTTATACAGAACTCCTGATTCATACTGACTTTTTTCCAAGGTCAACAGATTGTATTTTTTATAAATTGTATAGATTTTATAAACTGTATAGATTTTGGAAATGAATTAGACTAATTCTGTGAGTCACAAACAAAACATATTTTGAAATAGTGTTATTACTTTAACATGAGCATCAAATATTTTCTTCAAGTCCTCATTGTTTCTTCAATTTTCCATAATTTTCAAGTTAAGTAAAAAATAAGGAATGATGTGTTTCAGTATATAGAATGAAAAATAATTCTTTATAAATATTTAGTTAATTAACATTCATCCAAACCTGTCTGTTTTTTCTAAATGTTGGTGGGCAGGCAGAATCTGAGTTTTTCCCTTTGTAAAAATTTTTAAAATTTATACGACAGTTTATACCACAGTTTTTAAGTTTTCACTTCAGAATTATGGAAAATATTGTTAATTTTCATCTTTATATGAAAAAGATTTGATTTTAATTGTAATGTTTGCTGAAATTGATATTTTTAAAACCAAAGGTATGTACTGGAACATTTGTCTCGTATATGCCGTGTGCTCAAGCAATCTGGAGGTAATGCTTTACTTGTTGGAATGGGAGGAAGTGGTCGACAATCCCTGACCCGATTGGCTACATCCATGGCAAAAATGAATATTTTCCAACCTGAAATCTCCAAGAGCTATGGAATGAATGAGTGGAGGGAAGACCTAAAGGTAAAATATATACAATTAAATTTATATTGCTTAAAGGCTACTTAATGGTTTTAGAAAGATCTGAAGGACCAGGCTTGGGACCAGTGAAAAAATGGAAAAAATCCATTTTGTGGTAGCTAAGAGTTGATAGCTCCTTGGTGGAACATAATTAATTAACTGGTGTTAGAATTATACTCTTAAAACCACTCTGGATTAATCTACAGAACCACATACCATGCAGGATTGTACCTATTAAAGTTACATAGTTTAAAAGGTCAGTCAGAAGTGAAATTTTCTGCATAGTGGAATAATGTACTTATTCCATGAGGCATTAGAGTTGGAATGCTCTGTGCTCTGGCAATGGAAGATTTGAGTGTGGGGGAATGGTTTTGAAATGAATACATGAATTATCCTAATGTGATCAATAATGATATTATACATATCAATATATAATATGATATTCATATAATACCAATACACACACATACTGTATATGTATACACACCCATGTAATAAATATAAAATTTATTAATTTTTTTAAAGAATAAAAGATATGGATTTTGAAATAAAAAGTAAAGAAAAGTAATACATGAAATAAAAAAAAAAAAACTAAGGAAAGGAGAGTCTTCATAAAAGAAGTTACAACTACTTTGAGGTTCTTGAAGACATTTCATTACTCAAGTACATAACAGTGTTGATGGGAATGGTCTTGATAGTTCCTTAATTGGGCTGTTGTATCTATTGCACTGAATGCTTAATAATGTTTGTGTTACTTCTAGAACCTTCTGAAGAGTGCAGGTATGAAGGGCTTGAAAACTGTGTTTTTGATCACAGACACACAAATCAAAGAAGAAGGATTTTTAGAAGATGTTGACAGTGTGCTTAATACAGGAGAAGTACCCAATCTTTTTGCAGCTGATGAGAAACAGGAAGTTATGGAGGTAAATATTAGAATTATTTCTTATAATTATTTTTAAAGAATATTAAGATTAAAATTTAAAATATTACCACGCATGGCCACAGCTAAGATTGAGGTTTAATTCTGCTTTATTTAAAAGGAAAATAACTTGTACCGTATTTGCCGGCGTATAAGACGACTTTTTTGCCCTGAAAAACATGCCTCCAAGTGGGGGGGTCGTCTTATACGCCGGGAGGACTCCGACTCCCACTTCGAGCTTGAGTTGCAGCCAGGAGGGAGGCTGGGGGGGGGAGCGGTGTGTGTGTGTGTGTGTGTGTGTCGGGTGTCACTCGCCACGCGCTGCGCAACCTTTCCCCCTCTTCCTTCCTTAGCGGTGTGGGGAGGAGAGGATTCGAAGATCCTCACGTGCGTACTTTTCTTTTTCTTTTTTTCTTTTTGCACGCAGGTTTTGCATGTGGGCGGCTGTAGGTTAAGGATGGGGGAGCCCCCGGGTGGGTTATCAGGTTTTACGGTGCTTCCAACATGTGCGAACGGTGGGAGAGCGGAGAAGAGCGCCCCGCTGTGTGAAATCCTGCCGTCAAAGCAACACTGGGGGAGGCAGGGTATAAATTTACCAGGTTAATGTAGCAATGGTGATTAATGCCCAGAACATTGTTTGCGGGTATTGGGGTGTGTGTGTGTGTGTGGTGGTGGTGAGGAGAGGTTGTCCTTTGAATGCGGAAAAGTAGGTGTGACCTTGTGTAGGAAAATAAAGAGATCCTTTTTAGCGTGTTTGGCTTCTTTGCCTCCCCTCGTTCGTTTTGACGTGGAGATAATGGCCTTTGGGCGGGAGGGGAAGAAAACGGTAGCTGGATCATTTCAAATTTCACTTACTCTCCTGCCTCACTTCAATATGTCTGAGCGACTCCAGATACTGGAAGATTTTTTGAATGAAAGTGTTACCTCCATTTTTTTTTTTAAAGAGGGCCACTTGGGGAAAAAAAAAGATTCTAAGGAATTCCTTGTTTCTTGATTAAAGAGAAGGCATTGAATATACTGTTCCTTGGCAGCCTTTTCAGTGTCCGGGTTTTTGGTGTGTGTGTGTGTGAAAGAGAGAGAGAGAGAGAGATCAGCTGTATTGAGAAGAGAACGTTTCCTGTGTTCTCATTTTATTTACAACATATTTTACGCTTAATGGTAAGCAATGAAAAATATTTTTAAAACTCATTTCTAAACTCCATAGCTATTTGCATATTCTTGGTTCAAAATTGGATTAGCTCATTTCAAAATTGTCCAAAGCAGAAAAGTGCGTCAAAAAAAAAAAAATGCAAAAGTGGAAGGTGTGTGGAAGAGGGGGTAGTCTTATACGGCGAGTATATAACAAACTCTATATTTTGAGTGGAAATGTTGGGGGGTCGTCTTATACGCCCAGTCGTCTTATACGCCGGCAAATACGGTAATTTGCTTAATCTCAATTGAGCCATGCCGTTAGTTGGTAAATTAAAACCTATCTATATATTACACTATATAGATAATTATACATGACTAATAGAATAGTAGGAGCTAATTTATAGGACTGCTTTATATAGGACTATTATTAGAGACTACCTGAAACCTATATTCCTATATAGTCCTATATGGCCTGACATTCAAATATTTTCAGGATTGCTTCCTTCAGATAAAACCAATCCCTCAGATCTGGTCCTCACATATATTACCTCACATATATGAAGTTGGGGTTGAGGAAGCAGAAGAAAATGTGTTTTTTTTTTACTCCATCTTTTGAAAATGATCTCCCCCAAGACATTTGAATGCCACTCTTACTGATGGTTGCATGTAGGTAGTAAAGATGAAGCTTTCTATCAGAGCCTTTAATTATTAGGAAATCACTGGGTTGAAAATGCTAGGATGGACTGATGATTTTGTTTTATGTCTTTTTATATATTTTTTTATGTTTTCATGTGGAATATTGTAAGAGTTCTGTATAGAAATATAATTAATAAAAAGAAAACAAAGGAAATAGGACAATTGTCTTAAAATACAATACAGTTTAAATAAATCTTATCACTAGCTTCAATTTTAAAATATTAATAGTTTTAGATTCTTATAGTCCACTACAGTTATTGAACTTAGGGGATTTATTTATCCCAGATTCACTGAGAGTTGGGCAGCACATAAATTTGATAAATTATTATTATTTGTATATTTATCAGTTTAATTGACATCATTTTCTCAACAGACATATATTTTTCACAAGTTAATTTCTTTTGATGAATACATTACAGTTCCTATTAGTAGTCAGATTGCTTTACAAAACTAGACTTTGCAAATGGTGATTTACTTCTGCACTTTATTCTCTAGGGAGTTCGTGCTGTATCTCAGGCTGGACATAAACATGAAGAGCTTAGTCCGTTGGCTTTATTTGCTTTTTTTGTGAACCGTTGCAAAGACAATCTCCATGTTGTAGTAGCTTTCAGTCCAATTGGAGATGCTTTTCGCAATCGCCTGAGACAATTTCCATCTCTCATCAACTGTTGTACTATTGACTGGTTCCAGGTTTGTAGAAATAATCAGAGTGATGTCGTATATTTACCAAGCTCATATATATTCTTACCCATCAAAACTTGTTTTTCCCTCTCTTCGATGTTGATAATATTTTTCTTAGATTTTGAATAAAGGTTGAAACTATTCTGACTTACAACTTTGAATGTTCGATTGGTAATTGTTAGCAGTCACGTGGAATGGATGCTTGTATAATATGTATAGATTTTTTTAAAAAGTCTCTTAAAGCATCTCAGTGTCATTCAAAAATATATTCTTTTATACTATTGAATGATATAATGGAATTCCATTATAAACTTCATACCCTAGGATTATATATATATTTTACTTCAACATGATATTGGAGAGTTGATCATAGTGGGGAATGGTTCTTGCTTTACCTATTTTGTTGTGTATAGTGATGTATATAGTGTGTTGTAAAATAATACCTTATTGTTTTACCTTGTCCATGAAGTGAATAGAGGCCATTAATCACTTCTCTTTCATTTATTGTCATTCATAATATTCTATGTAGAATATGGGATGGGGGGATCCCACTTTGATCTACTTACTACTACAAACATGGCTAGTGGATTTAATATATTGGTATCAGTATGGGGATATTTTATGGGATCCAAAAAATCCCTAGATGTGGTGCCTGAGGTTGATTGGTAATCAATAATACAAAAATACATATGTAGTAAAATAAATAAAATAAAATAAATATGTAAGAGGAAAATTCCTCTATTAACTAAAAAAAATGAATAGTCCCGTCCCCCCCCACTATTTGTCTAGATTGTCACTATATTGATTAAAATTGTATGTGAAATGCAAGGAAAAGGAGTATCTGTGAAATGAATGTGAATCTTTTTTCTATTTCTTTGCTCATCTGCAATTAATAAATTTCATGATGTACTATTAGTGGAATGGAGTTGTAAATACAATGTGTAAGAAGACACATTGTAAGAAAACATTATATTCTTATGCTTACAGCCATGGCCTGAAGATGCTCTTGAGCGTGTGGCTATTAAATTCTTGGAAAAGCTTGAGCTCACAGAAAATGAACGTCAAGAAGTTGTTCCTATCTGTAAACATTTCCATACATCTGTGTTATCGCTTTCTGAAAGGTTAGCTTTCTATATAGATTTATGCTCCTAAGATAAATACAAAAGAAAAAAAATACCAGCATATTTACAATATTGCTAAAAAAACCTAATATTTAATAAATAGATTAAAACATATTCTCAGAAATAGCTATAATGTCATTTTCTGCCTGTTTTGAATTATTGTACAATATGTATAACATTTTTTCAAAATAAATAAGTTGCAATAAATAAACATATCTCCACACATAGCAATTATGGATGTATATTTATTATCAAACAAAATAGAGCCTTTTCTTTGAATCTTTGTTATAATTAATGCATTATTTTTTACTGATACAGATTTTTGAACCAGTTGGGACGACATAACTACGTTACACCTACTTCTTACCTTGAACTTATTGGTTCCTTCCAACTTCTTTTGTCACAAAATCGTGATACTGTCATGAAGGCAAAAAAAAGATATACTAATGGATTAGACAAATTAGCTTTTGCTGAATCTCAGGTGAATCAACAATAAAAGTATACTTTTATCTTGTGAGAATAGCTTTGTAGTTTCAAAACTCAAACTATCTTAGCTTTTTCCTTTGTTTTAATTGGACTGTTTCTCGTGCTATTTGTTTTGTTTTTAAATAAAAAGTTCTTGTCACCAATTACTTGCATTTATTTCAAGAAATATAATCACATTTCTATATGATTTGATTTGTAGGGCAGGCTAGAAATTTCTAGCATGTCTACTCATAAATAAATATCATTAATTCAGAGGGGCTTCTCCAAAATGAATGAGTTTAGATTGTAATCCCAATAGTACATAACAAATGTTTTACTTCTTCTTTCTATTTTGTGAATATTAAACAATTTATGCGCAACTATTGGTTTCAGGTTGGCGAAATGAAGAAAGAACTTGTTGATTTGCAACCTAAATTGGAGGAAGCAAAAGTGGATAATGCAGCCATGATGAAGGTAAAATTTCTGATGGTCAGGATAATGTGTGGTTATTGTAGTATACAATTGACTGATCATACTAATTGTCATATTTTAGTGATATGGTGATTTTATATCTTTGAGTGAGAAAATTTGTATTTGTATGGCTTGCACGGTAAACTATTCATACTGAAATGTTGGTAAATGTTTATCATTCTAATATGATTTGCTGTGCTATGCTAGGCAAACTAGTGGTGTAAATGATAGTGGTTAGTTTACATTACTGTTAAATAAATGTCAGGTGGAAAGCTACAACCCTTAATGCTTCAGATCAGTTTCAAAAATATTAAGAATTATAGTAATTATTAATTAATAAGCAATGTCTTGTGTTTTCTCCTCTCAGGTTTTTGTAATGTTATCTGTCCCAATTGCCATGAGAGCTATTCATTGTCAAGATTTGACAGTGGTGATTTTTAAAAGATCTGTCTTTTAAAACTTTTTTTAAAATCACACTTACACACAAACACAAATACGTACACACACGCAGAGAAAGCATAATTAGCTTGTCCCAGTGAAAGTGGGATTACAGGTAGTCCTCAATTTACAACTGAAATTTAATCTAGAATTATAGGTAATAAATCATAGTTCAAAGCATTATGTGTTTGGACCTATTTTTTGACATTTTTGTGGTGATCATTAAGCAAATATTGTGATTCATAAACAAACCAATTTTCCCCAATAAGTATTTTTTGCTGGAAAACAGAAGTAAATGCCAGAAACTGGCAAAAAAAATAACACACGCAAATGGCCTTAAAGGTGGCATAGTTGCCAAGTTTCAAAATCTGATAATTTGCCCTTGCATTGTGTATGGAGGGATTGTAAGTAGATTTTGAAACGTTTGTTGTAACTTCAGATGGTTGCTAAGCAATCATTGGTAAGTCGAGGAGTACCTGTAATAAAAGTCTATACTTTCCTAATAGATTCTCATGGCTGCATTTCTCCTGTCCAAGGTTCATGAGCTGACAGCCAGAGGGGTGGGGTGGCTGACAGCCAGCAATGGGGGTGGGGTGGAGGAGTCGGAGAGGGAAAGATTGGACTGTAAGGAAGAAGAGGGGGATGGAAGCCCAGCTGAGCCTTGTGAGACGCTTCAGCCAGCCAAGGTCAACTATTGATTTGCAGAACTGGGAACTGAGCTCCTGTTTCCTAAACAATATACATTTACATATACATTGAACATTTACAGGTAACTGGGGCATTGCCAGATGAAGAGGAAGAGGAAAATACTTTGTATTGTTTGCAAGGGAAAACCTCAGATTCAGCTTAAGCTACTTCTGTAACCACCTAAGCTTCAGTATACTCTTGGCAAAAATAAATGGCCAAGAGTCTTTCTTTGCTAGATAACTGAATGGGAAGGTTGATGTAGATATTCATATATTTAACGGAAGCATACTTTCAAAAACATCAATACAATAAGTCACAAACAACTATTCTGGTGGCAATCATTAATTTTATGCAGAGCTTAACTGTTTAAAATACTTTTTATATGGCTCCAAATATAAACTCAGATGTTCAAAACAGTTATTTTGCCTTACTAAGTGAATGCATGAATCTAATGGATCGTGCACCTGTTCCATGATAGTTGTTTGCTTATTACTTTACCTTTACTTTCTAGATCATTGAGAAGGAATCTGCTGAGGTTGAAGCAAAAAGCAAAACTGTAAAAGTAGATGAGGAGCTTGCTACAGAAAAGGCTGCTGAAGCTCAAGCACTGAAAAATGAATGTGAGAGTGACCTTGCCGAAGCAATTCCAGCACTAGAGGCAGCATTGGCCGCACTTGACACTCTGAAGGCAAGTTAAAGACAAGTTAAGAGTTGATGAAAGAAATCTAAATAGGTTCTTTCTCTGGGTCAGAATAGTATTCTGTTGGTTGAAATAACATTCTCTTGGTCATTGTTTGATTGAAGGAGCATTCCATCGCTTATTCCATCCAGAAGATCAAAGTTTAGTCCTTGATCTTTTCCAAATAAGAACAGGGAGCAGATCTATTTAAATATGTGACATTTTGGAAACTACAACTTGATTTATATATATTTTTATATACAATATATTTTAGCCTGCAGATATTACAATTGTAAAATCAATGAAGAATCCACCTTCTGGAGTTAAACTGGTTATGGCTGCTATTTGTGTCATGAAGGATATAAAACCAGAAAAAATTGCTGATCCTTCTGGAATTGGAGGAAAGGTAAAGTAATTGAAGCAAAGCATAAATGCTTCTAGTGGCAAAACCCACTTTAATAAACAGGAAACATGTACTTAGAGCTATATAATATAGAACTGTAGGCATGGTAAAATTGCTTCATCAATAAGCCATCTCCATGAAAATTCTCTAAGTTTTCATCATAAATGAGAAAGTGCAGAGAAACAGTAAATTGTATTATTAGTTCCATAACACATTGTTAGTAAAATATTTCTATCTTGATAGGAAGAATGTCTAGGAATGTAGAGTTTATATGGAGACTCAGGAAATAAGATCATCATTGTTTGACAGTTGATATTTATATAACAGATTATTGAATTTTTCAATTTTTTAATTCAATTTTTTTTGTTCCCTGTTTTTCACTAAAATGTGGATTTTTCCTTTATCATCTATTTTTATACCACTATGAGAAACAAACTACTGCTTTATTTCATATGTTAAAAGATTATATGGGAGGATTATAATGATGAAGCTCAACATTTTTCAAAAATGTAAGATAGATTCATTTTTACACATATAGTGTACAGAGGGTAGCAGAGGTAGTATTCAGCAGGTTCTGACCAGTTCTGGAGAACTGGTAGCAGAAATTTTGAGTAGTTCGGAGAACCGGCAAATACCACCTCTGACTGGAGATTTACAGTATCCCTTCCCCTGCCACACCCTCAAGCCACGCCCACAGAACCACCACTGGAGGGTAGGGTTGAATCACTTGAATCCCACCACTGGAAAGTAGGGTTGTGTAAATCTTTGGATTAAAAGATAAAGGATTTAAAGATAAAGGTTCAGATCGGTTCTATAGAACCAGTTACAGTTCTGCCCAGTTTGGAGAACCGACAAATTGTGCCCCTGGATGGCCCCACCCCTCTCTGTCCACCCCTCCCCTCCCCACCCAGTCAGTCCTTATCACGCATGCATGACATTGCACGCATTGCTGACCACATTTCCCCCCGACTGCCCCATCCCGCCCAGTCACTCCTTACAGTACTTTCCCCCCTCCTGTTCCGACAATTAGCTGTGCCAGGATCCCCTACTGCTTCACCCGAGAGGCTTCTCTGAGGCCCAGGAGGCAAAAAAAAAATGGACCACAGGGGGTGCTGTATGGACCCTCCGTGCTCTGTTTTTGGCCTCCTGGGCCAGGGAAGCCTTCTGGGAGCAAAAATGCTGCTCCCAGGAGGCTTCTCTGAGGCCCAGGAGGCCAAGAAATGGAGCACCAGGAGTGTGTGTGTGCAAAAAAGAAGCCACACCAACCCAGTCACATGGCCATGCCCACCTAGCCACTCCCCCTAGCCACACCCATATAACCAGTAGTAAAAATATTTCCATCCCATCCCTGGCCTCTTAGGTAGCATCTCTCAGCAATCCTTAAAGTAGTTCTGTTGTTTCCTAGAAACACACAGCTGCCACAGGACCCTGAGAAAGTCATATTTGCTTTAAGGAATTGCCAACAGGTGTTAACTGTGTACTCTAAAGAACTTTTTTGTCTTTGAGCATAAAGTGCAAATTCACATTCCTTGCTATATATGATCAATGATAGTTATTTTATTCCATACAAATTCTTTTCTGCATTCTCTTATTGGATATCCTTCAAATTATACATTCATTAGAAAACCCTCTGCATTTTCCCACTTTCTCATTATCTTTAAAAAAACATTTAACATTATTCTTTAACTTTCTTTTAGATTTTAGACTACTGGGGACCTAGCAAAAAACTTTTAGGTGAAATGAATTTCCTTAAAGATTTGAGAGAATATGACAAAGATAACATTCCAGTAAGTCTTTGTATATTTAAAAAACAATAAATTGTGATTCAGCTACAGCAAACATAATAGACTTTATCTCTTATCTAGCCTTTAAAAGCCAGAATATCTTTAAATGGAAGAAAGATATTTACATATCACACATGTGAGAATAATAATTGTAAGCCCTTTCTTATTTCCATCTTGCTAGGGCACAAACAAGCCCCAGCTACTTTTTTTTCTACCACATGCTCATGATCTTGCCTTGTTTTCATGCCTGGTTCATATCTGAGACAGCTTAAAGTCATTGCTACGTGTTGTACTGTTTAAATAATGTGTTCTCATTTAAGCAGGCAGCAAGCTATAAAAAGCTTTCTGTGGTTGCAGTGATTCTTCACTGACCATTTAGTCTCTGGTATAAACAGATGACTCAGAGGGATGGATTAGCCCAGCATCTATTAGCCACTTTAGACCCATGATGGCGAACCTATCCACGCGTGCCATGTGGGCATGCGAGCTGTTGCCCCAGCTCAGCTCCACTGTGCATGTGTGTGCACCTCCTGCTGGCCAGCTGGTCTTTGGGTCTCTGCCACACATGGGGGGAGTGGAGTGCATGCGTGGGGGGGGGGGGGGAATGTCTGGGGATGCATGTGCATTTGCAGGGGGGGGGGGGCATGTGGGGGCAGGGCGCATGTGCAGGGGATGTGCACATATTGCATTTTGGGGATGTGCGCACTTTGGGCACTCAAGTGCCAAAAAGGTTAGCCATCACGGCTTTAGACTGATGTTGGCCTTTGCCCTTCCGTTCACTTCTTGGGCATTGTTTCCAACATACATTATAGTTTGGGGGAGAAAATGAGGCTGGATCTTTCTGAACTGATCTGTTGATATTAGATAATATTAGCAGATTGCTAGGCTTCTTTTGAGCATGGGTTAGCACTATTTCAGAATAGGACAAAACCACTGCCCAGAAGTTGATAGTCTCCTATTGAATACATCTGTGCATCACAGCCATCTGGCATCTGTCAGAACTTGCCATCTCCTTAAAGCCCCAGTCCAAGCCCTTTCCCACACTGAGAGTGATCTCTAAATGTTTTCCTGTCAGCAAATCAGGAGAATCCATCAATCTCTGTCATAAATATGCCCAAGGCAAGATAGGTATCAGCAGCAGGGGGAGCAAACTACTGTTTGATTATAAAGGCTACTCAGTAATGCATGACTAATAATAGCCAAATCATTTAGAGAATTGTTACTGCTAAACCCTGTGTTTCAGATGTATGTAATGCATGTTTCATATAGGTATCAGTGATGCAGAAGATTCGTTCAGAATATCTAACTAATCCTGAATTTGATCCTCCCAAAGTGGCTAAAGCATCTTCTGCAGCAGAAGGGTTATGTAAATGGATTATGGCAATGGAGGTTTATGACCGAGTAGCAAAGGTATTATTAAGTTTTTTCTTTTTATGTTGAAAATATGATTGCTCAGATTCTTTTGGGATGCTCTTGCAGCGCAAACACAATTTTTGCATATATATATATATATACTGTTTTTGAATATGGAAGTTCAGTATTTCGCACTATAATTATTACATTAGTTTAGCATAAGAGATATCTAGTTTATAATTCTATCAGCCATTTTAGCCATAGTCCAGTAACACTGCAATAAAGTGAAGATCCCTGAAAAAAATCTGTGTGTACAAATCAGCAGTAAGAAATCTCATGGTAATTTCTTAACAAGACAATAGCCTTCTGCAGCAATCTATCCGAAGAGTAGACCATACAGTGTTCTACATTGCAAATAAGAAAAGATCTAGA